AACTAAAGCAAATACGAAAGGTAGATAAGAACTCAAAAATAGGTAGAAAACAATGAACATGCTGTTGGTTGATTTGCGATAGTAGGAAACGCCAAAAGAACTCTCCATTCTGAGTTTATGCTGACGGAGGTTGGTGTATGTTTTGAGATAGAAAAATATGGCTGGCAGAAGACAGGAAACCAACATCAAGTTACTAGCTATACGTCGAAGATTCTTGCTAAAGGTTCCGGATACAGTGAAGAAGGCGGACAAAAACCAAGCTACCATAAGAATCGAAGTTATTTGCTTACCAGTGACAATTTTACGATACCTGAATCGAAGAATCAAAGCAAGATGTCTGTATAGAGCTACTACTGAGATTGTACAGAAGGACACAAGACCCAGGAAAGAAGAAAACACACTGTAAGGTAAACCAACAATACAGAATAGTCCGGGATTATCCCATGCTATGGCGAACGTGTATGCAGCAAACAGTGGTTGAGCAACAAGACCCACGCCAAAATCAGATAGTGCCAGGCTGGACAAGAGAGCTTTGGATGACGGATGAAGTGAAGAGCAGCGTCGGAGGGCGAGCAAAATTATGGCATTCCCCGTAAGAGCTGTTAATGAACAGAGAAGGTTTCCAATACCCAAAAAATGATATGCGAATGGGGCTTGGCATAAAGAAATAAATATGGAGATATCAAGAGTACACGACCTGTTATACATGATGATATGTTGTGAGCTACCCATAATAACCTTGCAATGCATGTCGGGGTGAACTATCTACACCCGCTTTCAGTTCGTTCTCTTCTCCCCCGACTGACAAATTACCGATTTTAAAGAATACTATACGGTAAGTTAATGAGCTTTTGAAGTCCAGCCAATATGGGTAAGTGTCTTAGGGACCTTTCAAGGTACGAATGGACAAAAAGACAAAAATAGGTTTTACTTTAAATTGAGATCATTTAAGTGTTTTTCCGGTAAAAAATATAACAATAAAATAAAAATACTATTAATACACAAAGAGATGTCCACTATAACCTATTTGTAATGATGTATTATTAATAAATACTATTTTTTCTTTTTTCTTTTGTTTTGTTTTGTTTTGTTTTTTCTACCTCATTACTGCTTCCGTCGGATGCGATATCAGAAAAATACAAGAATCGCCGAAAGGCGATTTTTAACTGGGCTGCAAAGGGGCTATTTTTTCTGAGGGGAGGGGGCGGCTATACACACTCAGGCTACTACAAAACCTTGTCGCCGACCATTGCATGCGACAGAATCTCATGTGAGACTGAAACATAAACTCATTCAGAACATTGTACCCTTTTGAAAGACTTTCTTACCAAAAAAAAAGATGAAAGTGAAGAATGTTCATCGCAGTAAATTTTCCAATTTAAGCAATTGGAAAGAAGAAGCCTGAAAGAATCAGGGCTTTATTTCATATACTTAAAAAAAAAAAGAGGACCATCTTTAAGTGGGGGTTGTATAATAACTTTTAAATTCCACCATTATGAATAAAAATAAACAAGTTAGCCATTAATTCTAAGCAGGAAACGATTTGCATTATTTTCACGCACCCCCCCCAATCCCTCTGTGCCCCAAAATATAGCGTGACAGTATAACGTGACTAATTTGACGTAACGGGAAATTCCAAAAATTGTTGTCGTTCTACGAGCATAAAGTTTACATCTCCGTAAAATGGTAGAAGAAATACCAAGAAACATCACGGGAGGTGAAAATTTTCAAAGGCATGTTTCTGGAACTCGCTAATGCTGACATCAATATAGCGTGCTTGCTGAATGGGAGAAAACACAGAATTGTGATCACAAGATCATGTACAAATTTAATGATAAAAGCTTAGGAAGATACAGATACAAACAAAAGCAAACCCCCTGAAACCTCGACGTGGGCTACACTTGTATGCTCTACTCAGTCACCAAACCTTGTCAGTATAAATAGCTCCTATTTTCCTCAAGTCAAGCCTGAACTTGTGTGCAAAATTCTCAGAGTTCCTATTTCTGTCCGTGTCTTCTTTATCCTCAGTATCCGAAATTTAGACCTCCAAATTAAATAGAAGGAAATATTTAAAGGAAAAGCCAGTCTTCTAACATTGCAAAGTTGTCACGTCCCTCGCTCACGGACGTGCGTAACATCAGGATTCATCTGACATTCATCGGCAAGTGAGTTGTTCGCTTCACTGACTACGACAGCTTACAATCAAGTCTTCAGCCATAGTGTCGTCAACTGGTGAAAGACTTTGCTCATAAATTGTGCTTCTTAATTGCTCTTGTACTACATCGATCGATAATTCTCTCTTTGAGTTCACGAAGCGGTCCCGGCATTCCAAACCTGACGCTCACAGTCATCTTTTGGTGTGAACCTACCGTGAACGAAGTGTCGGTTTGTATGCAACGTGAGCATTTTTCTGAGTTTCCCAGCGCCAACATCATCTAACTGACTTAAACTCAAACAATAAAAAAATTATAGCGTGACTCCTATGATCGAATCGCTTCGAACAACGCAAATATCCTTCTTCAGGTTCGCAACGCCTTGTGGGTTTTTCAGGGGGAGCGGAGACTAGGTACAAAAAGTATCCGTGCAAGGGTCTGTGCAAGAGAAAATCCTATGAAACCATTTGTGAAAACGTCGTTTCTCGGTACCAGACCCTCGTGTCTTACCTCCCCCGGACACCGACAACCGAAAACCGAATTTATGACTGGGCCGCACAGGCAGCCCAGTAATAAAGGCAAAACAACTTGAAGGTTATTACCCGATGACATGAGCGAATAGTACACCTTTTAAGCCAGTTGAGAGCAATTTGTCAAGCTATTAATTGGATAGTACATTTTACAGGTGCGTTTAATTTAAACCAGAAGCATATAATGCGGTATGTAATTTCCGACAGAAGTATGTCAACTCGATTTGTGGTTTGCGAAAAATGAATCCTATTTATTTCAATAATAATGCTTTGTGTAGGACTGAATGCTGGATTAAGTTAAATGAGGGGTTGTCACTTAAATCTGTTTTAATTAATAATCGTTTCTAATGTTGATACCACGGCGTTCATTGCTGTATGCGGTTTAAGATAGGATAGCTTTAGCTAATAAATCGTCGGATTTGACACCACAGCAGAAGCAGAACTTACTAAAGAGAATTATCTGACATTTATAAAAAATACACACACACTCTATACTTTATTTTCATATACATCAATTTGCCATCGCCGCCCGCAAATAGCAAAAGCTAGACGAGGCGGGCGGAGAGGAAAGGTTACAGCAGTCATAACACATGATATTGTAAAGTTTAGTTCTAAATAAACTACGTGGATAAATAAGAATTACAGAAAAACAAGCTAAAGTTACAAAATATATAGTCTTAGAAAATGATATTACAAGACAAATTTACTACTCACAGAACCTAACAATTATTAGTGCATTGAGGATGCAGAATTTGCCATTTTTTCTAGGAAAATGGGCACTTCAACATAATCGTCCTCTACTTCCATTATCGAGAGCAAAACGTCATGAAATTTTTTTATAAAAGCTCCTTTGGAGAGTTGACGAAATTCGTTAGGTATTGCGTTCCAAAGTTTAGCTCCAAACTTGGAAAAAGAATCTTGATTTAGATTCGGGCTTGAGGTTTGGACATAATAATTTCCAGACGAAGAAAACCTGGTTTCATGCTTGTACTTTGAATTAGGTTTAGTGAAAAAAAAAGAATTCACAGACGTTAGACGGAGCATTCATGCAGGAGACGTCAAACATCATGGCATATAACATTTGTAAAGTACGAATTTTTGAGGAAATAAATAAAGGCACAGCATGGCACAGCATTACGGTACAGCAGGGGGGGGGGGGGGGAGGTGTCTCCAAGGAAATCTGTGGTACAGTCCGCCTGCCAGTATGACGTCACGTCTCGCGTCAGTAACTTTCAAAATGGCGAGAAAAGTGTTCATCGAAGAGACGGATAAACATTTCAATTTAATCACGGAAATACTGTTCCGATTTCTTGGATTTGGAGATTTTAAGGTTCCTATTGTAGTTTCAAATGTGCAAAAAAAAGAACATGATTCAGGTAATAATTAAAGAAAAGAAGCTAGGTTTGTTTGGAAATTAAGAAAAAATAAAGCTGAGAGGAAAAGATAAAAAAAACTATGAACGATATTGAATGAGATCATTTTTATATTGTACGTTTTGAAACTGCTAGTAGAGAGCGGTTGCTTTAGTATTCATTCAAAATACTTCTTAGTTTAAAAACATAACTAACACATGCTTACCTGTATTGATGTTAAGTTCATCTTTGATAGTTTACGTTAAGGTTTGTCCAGCTCCTCGAATATTCTCCAAATAGCAGATGTCGCCCCCCGAGTTGTCTTTTTGCTGTTTCTGCTATGTTTTTTTGCTATTATTACGCCTAGTTCCAGCTGTAGTTTTTACTCTTCAAACGAGTGAAGTGTCCTTCATTTTTATTTTCACAACCTAAACAACTCATTTCCTCGTTAAAGTCAAAATTCTTCCAAACTAGCTACAACCTTATAACCACTTTACGATAACCACTTTACGACGACTTCTTACTAATGCCAAGGACAAAAACAAACCGGAGGACCGACAGGGAGTAGTATACAGGATCAAATACTTCGGCTGCCAGGCTACTTCAATTTGATAAAATTTATCAAGCGTTTGCATAGAGGTCAAAGAAAAGCAGAATGACATCTTTGTTTTACAGCTATTGTTTTTCTTGCCTTATCAAAGATGTATAAGAAATCAGCTATTCCACCAATCGAGTAAATCGAAATCAGTGTTTTTCGTGAAATGACTGCCCTTTCGAAACTCCCGTGACACTTACTTGGACAACTGAGTATGTGTTCGCGGCATGAAGATTGCTGTATCTTAGTAATTTTACTTTTGAGTAGTCAGTTAGCTGACATTCCGTATGTTCATTCTCCATGACATGACGCAAACAAGTGTATGGTTGAATGATCGACATATCATCTGTTTTTATAAAGCCAAAAAAAAATGGCGGTTGAGATACGAAAGCTTTCTACCGTTCTTTTTTTCGTAGCCTGTGCCATCTTTGTGCCCCAGGAGAGCGGTGGAATTTTGTTAGATCCAACCTTAATTGGCAGAGAGTTGCAGTCGTTTGCTAATGATGCTCTTGGAGTGGATGACCTTCAAGTAAGACTGCTACATGTTTGCCAATTTCAGCTTTTACTGATCTTTAACTAACAACTGAAATATTCAATGATCAGTCTTCTGTCAGGTGTATTACCATGACGTTAAGCTCAGTTCGATAAGTTGACAAAGTTAATTACTTGTGCAAATCTGAAACTGGCTTTCTATACGTGGGAAGTTCATTGAAAATTAATTTTGCGACATTCCAGCAGGGAAGCTCGAGATTGATTCCGCTTTGTGGTTTAAGAGTTGAGCGTACAAAACAATTCGACACGGCACACCACCTTTATAGAGACTTAAACATCAGACTATACGTCGCTTTGAAAGTGAATTCGGGTTCTTCAATCTCCTTCGCGAATATTTCAACTCACTTATTAATAATACGTTTGTCAAATGCAGGCGAACTCTCCTGGATCCTGGAGTTGAATTCCTTAGAGCCATATCCAAGTTCAGAAAGAGAAAGAAAATTTCTTCGTAAGCTTTTTTACGTCCTCTATTAAAAGTGAAAACAGTCATTTTTACGTCGTAGCCTTGAAGTCACGGCAAAGGAACGTAAAGGAAAAGTGTGCTGTAAAGCTGAGTTTTTGTTTTACCTATTGCTTTCTTGAAGTCCTTGTTGTCGTCGTCATTGACTGCGACAGCATTGAAAAACGATGTCAGCGAATGTATATATTATGTATTTATATGAAATCTCATATACACAACGGTAGACCTTAAAACGTATTGGGCTTTCATCTAGCTGGACCAATATCTGTTGGCGAAAGTCCTGATAAACAAATTTAGGTGATCTTTAATCTTTTAAATGCCTGACTAAAACCATCAGTGTGTCGGATCTTTTAATGGTTTGCCTTCTGGAACTGCTATATAAAGTTTAATATGTTTCCTTTTTTTAATATATTGAAGGATATAAGTGAGTGATCATTACACAGCCAGAAACTGGAATATGGATTAAATCAGAGCAAAAGTATTGGAATTACAGCGTTCACGGTTCGCTTCGAGGCAAAACGTACTTGGTGATAATGGAATTTTCAGTTTAATTCACAGTAAATTTAGAGCTAAACCGTGAATGAGCAAAAATAACTTGAAAGGATTGTGTATACTAAATTTCCTGTTTTTTTGGCCGGCTCAAAAGGACACTGGGCCTCATCATCCGTCTGAGACCATATATGGTCGTTTTAACTACGATATGATCCGCCATAACATCAAGAATAAACCAGAAGACAAACAGCTTGCTCATTTTGTCTAGAGTATGCTAAAAACTTAGAGCTGATTTTGCTCGCGAAGGACAAAATTGCGACCTAAGAAAAGACGTTTTTAACTGATAAGTGAAATGCAATAATTTAGAAGGTTCGTCCGTAAATGTATTCTGTAGTTTTAGGGCCTCCAATCATCGTAGTCTGAGTTGAAATCCCGAAGGCGCTTCCGAGTTGTGTTATCAGCTTTCCTCTCCTAAAAGGCCGACATTTCCAACTCATCTAGGATACAGATATATGATTATAACCTCCATGAGCGACGACCTCTCGTAAGCGACCACCTCCAATAAGCAATTACCTCTGCAAAACCGTCAAAGCCTTATAGTTGGAACTTCTCGTAAAGGATCACCTTGTGCAAGCGACCGCAAACATTTTTCGGAGCTAACGGTTTAACAATTTTCCTTTATTTTTGTCCTGCCATAAGCGTGATCTGAACCCTATGTTCACGGTTCTATGTGCTATATGTTGCAACAAATTTTCTAGGCCAACTTCGAGTGAAATTTCCTATTATTGGGATTTCTGAGACTTGGCTTGATGATTGTTATCATTTTTCCGATATAGCGGGTTATAATTTTTTGCATAAACCTAGAGTTAATAGCATTGGTGGAGTTGTTGGCCTTTACATTGGTGAACATTTAAATTACAAAGAACGCCATGATCTAGCATTCCCCGAGGGCAAATCTGCTGAATCCTTGTTTGTTGAAATTAATAAGACGAAAGAAAAGAATATAATTGTCGGCATTATCTATCGACCACTTGAGTCGAAGTTAAATGAATTTGTGTCTGACTTGGATCTAGTACTGGGAAAAATTTCCAAGGAAAATAAGCTTGTATTTTTAATGGGTGACTGGAATTTAAATTTAATTAATCATGATTGTCATAAAGCGACAAGTGATTTCTTAGATTTGTTGTACTCTAGCTAGGATGTATTTTCCACTAATAGCTGTGGTCACACTTGGGATTTGACGTTGGTAAAAGGCTTTAACCGTGGTAAAAAGGATGTAAAAAAACTTTACTATAGTAAAACTCATTAGTGGACTTAACACGTTCCAGATGGTTTCCCAACAGAAATGTGTCACTCAAATGATGAGCCTGAGGACAGGTGATAATTCTTACGACATTCCATGAATGTTTTATTTTTTTATCCAGTTCAGCCTAACTGTCTATACATCATACATTCACTGAAAATTGTGCCGCTGCTTATACTGTTTCTATCCCATTATTTTCTCGGCCAAATATAAGCGAATATGTTTAATAATGTTGACAGGCCATACACGACTCCCTTTGGCCAAGTTGTTGTATATCTTTGACCTTTAAGCCTCATAGTTTGAGTTGTTCATAATGTTGACAGGCTATTCACGTTTATCTTTGGCTCAGTTGCTGTTGCTTTGACCTTACCTTCATAGTTTAGTTCTTACGAGTATATCTTGTAGTGTCTTTCCTCTTTTGTAGGATATTATGGGAGGGTCTTTAAAGATTTCTCTAAGCAACGGTTGGTTTTCTATAAGATATCATTTGTGCATGATGATTTTTTTCAGACTCGGTACTGAGGGGCGATATTCTGTCACGAATGGTAGTATTTTCTTGTGCGTTTTTGTTTTGTTTTGCAAAGCCGACATTCTTTCGTGATGCTTGACTTCTGATAGGTGCTTATCTATCACTTTATCTCTATAACCCCTCATACGGAGTCGTTGCTTGAAATTAGTTACGTTCTCTTCGAACGTTTTCTCAGAAGAGTTTGTTCTGAGTAATCTTAAGGCCTCGCCTTTTATGAATCCTTTCTTAACCCCTTGGGGGTGACATGAAGAGAAGTACGTGTATTGGAAAGTTTCTGTCGGTTTGAAGTGTGTACGCACATCTAGGATTGATTCCTTCTTAAATCTTTCTCCTTTGTAAATACATGTATCCAGAAAGGCGGTTTCTGTTTCTCAAACTTCAGCAGTAAATTTTATGGTCGGGTGGTGGTTATTTGCTAGTTCGATGAATGAGTATATTTCTTCTTTGTCTACATTCCACAATGAGAATATGTCATCGATAAATCTCTTCCACACCAGGGGCGTAGCGTCCATATACACACGTACGCTCGTGCGTACAGCTGAGATCTGAGAAAAAATTTTTCTCATTAAATTTGCTGGCTAATAATTTCATATTTTCACATTATACTGGCTTTTTTAGTAGAATTCCCATTATCTAAGCATCAATCATTCAGTGCTGGCCACTAATAATGGCAAAATGCATTTGAGTGGTAAGCACAAAAATAGGAAAAACGCCTCATGTACCCCTCCCTCAAGGTCAGCCAGCCTCACCAGTTTTTCCAGCCCCGCAGGTATTCTTGAAGGAGAGGTTACTATGCCATGACGTGTGGCTTCAGAACAAAACGTATTTGCCGTCAACGGATATTAGGAATATACTTGTGAGGTCAAACAGTGAAGCCCCAGTGATTGATGTTCCGAAGAAACTGTTAGAGAATCCTATGAATATTTCTGCGACTTGAGGAGCGTGATCACTGGCTTCTGTAGTGTTTTCGTGTGTTTCGTGAGACAAAGTACACACATATGGCTCGAAAATCGATACACGATTACTTCAACGCAATTAACAAGACAACTAATCTACATGCACTGCCGAATGAGCTTCAGTAGCATGAAGAGACTAAAATCTCCTCTGCGAAGTACGATGACGGACGAAAGATTAAGCTCCCTAGCAATCCCTCATATACATAAACATAAGAACGTGGATTGACAGGTTGGTTAAGGAGTTTGCCCGTCTTAAGGGTCGACGCCTCGCCCTTTGCTTGTGACCTGTCGTCATTGTTTTTGTACAACTTTCTACTGCATTTTTGCCGCATTATTTATTGAAAATGCCCCGCAGAAAAACCAGGAGATGGCATTTCCGAGACCCTAAATTTCAAAATTTTATGGGGGAGCATGCCCCCAGACCCCCCTAGATGTAAGCGTCTTTGGGGCTTACGAAAAATTTATTCTCGTGCGTACATCTTCAAAAACCCACGCTACGCCCCTGCACACTAGTGGTTTGTGCGGACTTTTGTTAATAATTTCTGTCTCTATTGCAGACATAAAAATGTTAGCAAATGCAACTGCCATTTTTGTTCCCATAGCTGTACCTTGTACTTGGAGGTAGTTTTTTCCAACAAATTGGAAAGAATTCTCCCTCAGGATTAGTCTGAGCATATCTGCGAGGTATTGGCTGGGTATTGGAGGTTTGTTTTGATAGAATGTTTCGTATGCTTTGCATATAATGGTAATTCCTTCCTCCTGTGGGATGTTTCTGTATAGGCTAGTTACATCCATAGAGACTAAAATAGCATTTTCTACGACCCTGGTTTTCTCTATGAAGTTGATAAAGTCTGTCGTATCTTTAAGATACGATTTTTGCGATTTAGCAATTGGTTGGAGGAGACTATCAACAAATGATGAGATTCTTTCCGTCGGGCCAATTCGCAGCCCGATATGATCGATCTTCCAACTGGTGTTGGTTTGTGAATCTTTGTGAGAGTGTAGAATTGTGGTATTCGCGGTGGATTTGGCGTGAGGGAAAGCCATCGTCTTGTCATCTCGTCCATATGTTTCTCCTTGTAAAGCTTATCTATCAATTTCTTGACCCTTTTAGAGGTTTCTACTACCATTGGTGTTTCTAAGGGTTTGTAGTTTTCTCTGTCGTCTAATTGTATTTGACCTTCTTTCATTTTGTCTTCTTTGAGGAGAACAACAATAGAAGAGCCTTTATCTGCTCGTTTAATGTTGATGTCCGGGTTTTCTTTCAGTTGTTTGATGGCAAGTTGTTCCCTCTTGGGTAGATTGTTTCTAGGCGTGATTGTATTTATATTAGCAAGTTGTAATTTAACCTCTTCTACGTATGTTTCTAGTGCGACTGATGGCTGAACTGGTGGCTCCCAGTCTGACTTTACATGAAAGGGGTGTTGCTCTTTATCTTTTCCATGAAAGATATATTGTAGACGCATTCGTCTAGCGAAAGCGTTGAAATCTTTTAATAGTTCTGCTCTAACGTGACCTGTGTTTGTCACTGGTGTGGGGATAAATTTAAGACCCCTTGACAGAACATTTATCTGATCGCGTGTCATTTTGTAATCTGAGAGGTTTTTGATATGTTTCTTTCTTGCTTCTGTTATGTTGTTATCTAAATCACGCGCTATTTTTGGCCTCCGTTCATTGCGTTTTTTGGTTGATAATGACCGCTTTTTCTTTCCTCTTTCCCTTTTTAGATAATCTATATTCTCAGAAAACACTCTGGGATAAGATTCACTTTGTTTATTCTCTTTAGCATTTTGTAAGACATACTTTATTTTGTTGAGTTCGTCTATTTTCTTCTGGATATTCTCTAGTTTCTGTTCGTGACTGCATTCTGGAGTATTAGATGGTACCTTACCTGACATGTCTTTCCTCTTTTCTTTGCGTGATTCCTGCTCTACTTTTACAAGTTTAGATTTGCTTCTTTCGACTCTACGGTCGTGAAACTTAACGAGTGCGCCTAAAACGTTTCGTTCTGCGTCTTTTCTAATCCAGCTTATGTCTCGTTTGAATTCTTCGTCCGGGGCAATGTTTGCCCTTGCGTTGTAACGCAAAGTTTTTGGACATGTATTGTTCTCAATATGTTTCTTCAGTTTAGCGATGGATTCTTTGGACTTTTGTATCTTGTCCTTAATGGTGTTTTCAAGCTCTTCTGTAGTAAGGCGCTGCTTTTTAAAAGGTATGTGTTCTTTCTGTTCACGAGAGTCATCATGATGACGTTTCTGTGGACCCGTTTTGCGCGGTTTTTGGACTTGGCGCCATTTTCTCTGATCGTTGGTGTTTGGTTTTTTCACGTTTAGTCTTTTGGCCTCTGTGGGGCCGCCGTTTCTTCTCTCAGTATTGTTAGTCTTTCTGTTTCTTTGCAATGGCTCATCCCCATTTTCTTTAAGGTTTGTGTTTTTGCGCCTTTCTGTTGTCAATTGTCCACACGGTATGTCTTCGTCATCCGAAGCTAAAAGGCTATCTTCTGCAGGATTGTTGGCTATATCAGCGAGTATTGAAGGGCTTGTTGTAAGAAGTCCTTCTTCGATTACTAGTGTAACACGTTCCACTAGAATTACGGCGAACAAAGCTTCGTTAATAGATAACATTTTCACGAAGGATCCACTTCGTCCCTCAATAAGTGGCCTTTTTCTCAATGAAATATCTGACCATTTACCGACATTTTCACTTATTTTGTATAATAATAGTACTAGTGATAAGGATAAATACGTATTTTTTCGTGAAAAAAATGCGCTTAATCTAAGTGCATTTAAAGATGAGTTAGGTAAGATAAACTGGGCTGAAATGCCTGGTTTTAATGATCCTTCTTGCGCTTATGAACTCTTTGTCGGAAAGTATACTACAATTTACGATAAATGTTTTCCACTCAGAAAAATGAAAGTGAAACGGTTCAATCTTCGTAAGCCTTGGTTTACTAAAGGTCTTGCTAAATCCATAAGGAAGAAAAATAAGTTATATCAGTCTTTCCTTAATAACCCTAACTCTTCCAATGAAAATGCATATAAGTCGTACAAAAACAAACTTACTCATTCTCTTCGAGTTGCTAAGCTTTTATATTATGAAAAACAAATTGAAAAACTAAAATCAAATGTTCAGGCCACTTGGAAAGTTCTAAATGAAATCCTTCGTTATGCATTTCTGCACTTACTACAAAGATACAATGATTTCCTGATCATGAGAGTATTGTTGATACCGAAATATAACATTTTTCCTTTGTAGTTTTGTCACTGTCGTCTAGATATTTTGACTTTGTACTGAAACTATCAAAAGGAAATTCTGGTTATTTTATTTTATTTTTTACAGACGTATTTTAATCAACTGCAATATCAGACGAAAAAACTGGAAGGAAACACGGCAGACCTTTCTGTGAACCTCAGAAACAAGTTCCAAACAAGATTTGCAGTCACAAAACGACTTAAAGATAAAGTTGAAGCTTTATAAGCCAAGCCTCCGAAACCCACAACAGCAAAAGAATGCTGTCATATCGACAAATCCACCCTGAAATACGATGAACTTTTCCGCACCAAAGTCGACCTTAACAACATTTGTTTGAAGATTTCCGGTGCTGCAACCCCGAACCCTAGACAGTTAGATGCAGAAGAAATCTTAAGAGAAATGAGAGACATTCATATAAAAAATCCCTTTCTTAAGTGGCAGTACTTTTCATCTGTGGAAGGAGTTCATACGAGTTTTCCAGTTCATGACGATTCAGAGCCTTGTGACTTATACGACCCTCGATACAGACCATTTTACGTAGAAACAGCCACCCCTGAATCTAAAGATGTTGTGTTGGTTATCGATTCCAGTGCGTCTATGACTAGCAAAAAATTTACTATTGCTAAAGAGGCGGCGAAGACTGTGTTATCCTCATTGAATCCGAAAGATCAGGTGGGTACTCGACACTGAGCGATTTCTCGCGCGTGCTAATTGGTCAAGAGCCACAACATGGTCGTTAAAGGTAATGTTACACGGGACGATTCGCAACGTCGATTTTTAGCGCAACACATGCGGCGTTACAATGTTGGAATAACGTTGTAACTATTCGAAACAATGTCGTAACAATATTGCAACACTGTGCTGCGATAAAAAAAGTCGTTGCGAATCGTCTCGTGTAACATCACCTTAAGAGTGCAGACCATGGAAATGACTTGGTGGTGCTCCCATTTGGAGTTTTTCCTTTCTAGGGCACGCGATTGTCCGAGAAAGTTCAATGAAAAAGCTGTTAATGGTACTGTAAAAAACAAATATAGTCGACTCCCGATAACTCGAACCTTCAAGGGAAATCGGAAAAGTCCGAGTTATCAGGAGTTTGATGCAAATAACCGGAAGTCAGGAAATAAGCAAATGGATGGGAAGGAAAGGCAATTAAGCAACAAAGTATACAAAAATGGACACTGAATTTGAACTGGAGTGACAAAAAAAGTAAGGAAAAAGAATTTACTCGGTTGTAAATTTAATCTTTCGGACCTCAGTAGACGGTTTTTTCCCGACTTGTCACGCGCTTATAACATGGTTCTAGTTATCGAAGGTAAAATTGTATAGAAATGAGCTGATGGGAAACCGTGCAAAATTGGTTCGAGTTAGCGGGAGGGTCGAGTAGTTATAGAGGGTTCGAGTTCCCGAGGGTAAAATTACAGTAAATGTAAGAAGGAAATCTAGGGAAATCGACTTTGGTTCGAGTTAGCGAGGGCTCGAGTTATCGGAAGTCAACGGTATAAAACAATTTCCCATGGTCTATTTAACAAATAGATTCCATGTTGCCGTGCGTCATGGTCAGTAATAGATCACAGATGACATCAAAATGTGGTAAAAACAAAGTAAGTGGCACACGAGCCACAGACAAAGTGTGTCACTGATGTTTTCACAACATTTTGACGTCTTCCGTGATCTACTGCTGAACAGACCCACGGCAACACGGAATCTATTTGTTAAATAGACCGCGAGAAAATGTTGCATATTTGTTTTTTACGTCCATTTTCATTTAACTTTCTCGGAAAATCGTGCGCGCTAGAAAGAAAAAACTACAAAATAGAAGCACCACCACGTCATTTCCATGGTCTGCACTCTTAACGACCATGTTGTGGCTCTTGACTAATGACCAGAAAAGGAAAAAGACCGATATACATACCTGCCTCGTACCGCTTCACTGTTCTAGGATTTGTGTTACTTAAGGCATTTTTTGTCGCTAACGCTACTTTTCGTTTCTTCTTCTTTTTCCCGTTATCTTACTTGTAAAAAGTTTCTACGTCTTCACTTGCTCAAAACAGAATAATGGCGAAAATATTTTGCATATCAGCCAGTCTCTCGTAACGATGACACACGATCAGTTGTTGTGAAGTTTTCTGGCATTTTAGCCATTCTCAAGTTGTCAAGTACTCTTTTTGCCTCCGTTTTTCCAATTTGTTTTGAACAACTTACAAAATAAGACATCACGTCTTTACCACATTCCTAGCCTGTTCCAGGCCCCGAGATAGTCGGGTCTGCTGAATTGAGAAAGCGCAAACACGAAAATAAAACGGGAGGAAACTGGGGAGAGCAGGGGCGGCGGAGCTTGTAATCATTTCTTTAAACGACCCTTTCCGGTATACCAGCTCCTGGTATACCCTCTGATTGGTCAAATTTGACAGATTATATCAACACTCTCAAAGCGGGTCGTTCCTGTCACTCAGAGAGATGGCGTCCGGCGTCCACGCGCGTGAAATAGAGGAATCCACGATAACTTCTGTGTTGAACGAATGTTTACTAGATTTCCAGCACATGGGAGCGCTGAGGAAGGAACAGAAGACCTGCCTTGTGAACTTGGCGCGTGGAGAAGATGTTTTTGTAATCCTACCGACCGGCTTCTGTCTCGCCTGATAACAAAGTGGCAATAACAGAACGGTCGCAAGCAGTTATCTACGTGCTCCAGTCCAGATTCACATTATCTTTAGATCTCTTAAGAAGAACAAGCTGGTGTTTAAAAATAATTGCTTAAGAGCAAACTTGACTGACTCACAACGTAGTTCTCCATGTTTAAAGTAGCTTCAGTTTAAGGTGCAATCCATTCTTCGAAATTTGCATTTGTGAATCACCACCCGTGAGAATTTCACATCCTGCAAAAATACTAACGAGCTGGGCCCAGCGTGACAAAACTCATGGTAGGAGACCATCACATCACAAAAGAAAATCGCTTTCAGTTAGTCAGATCAAGGAGGGATTTTGGAGAAAATCAAACAACCTAAAACCCTTAAACTTTACGTTTCAAAATAGGTCAAAGAAAATGCTCTTGCATCAGAGGGCAAATTATCAATCATGCCAACCAGAAACAATAACCTCAGAAAATCAATATGCGTGTCGCGACCTCTCATCATGAAACAGTCGGAAAAAATCACATAGTTTGCTCAGTCAAAATCTGCAAATTGCAGACCCCTCCAGAGCATAATCTACCTGCAAGGGAAAATATTCACTGGAACAAGCAGCATTTTGGCGCAAGGTAAAAGTCGTGTGTTGCCTACCGACCCGCTTTTTACACTCCAGATTGCTCTGACTCGCATAAGAGATAAGCGCCGCGCGAAATAATCTCGCGAGAAATTTGAGAAATTAAGATTCCAACTCATTGACATTTCAACAGTTTGACAGCCGAAATCTAATTATCTCAAACTTACCGAAAGTGGGCGGAAGAGGGTCGTAAAATAAATGATTACAGGCTCTCTCTTTCTTCCTTTTTCGTTTTTCCCGCCCCGCCAACTTTTCACGTGCCTTTTTCTTTCGTGTCTTCCCCACTATCTGAGAGCCTGGAACAGAATACCACATTCCACGCACGTATAAGAAATGTAAAATGTAAAAATAATAAAAATGTTCTAGAAGTTTTAAAATCTTCGAAATACATTTCGCTCTCCGAGCTTCGTCAGTCAATAAAATTTTCATTTAAGATGCACTAAAATAGTCTGCGTGTTCGCCAGTGTCATGTAAGCCAACATCGTGTATTCTATTTCACGTGGTCACGTGCGACTACCGCGCGTGGAACGCGGAAATAATTCCATTCGTTCTTAGAGTTCAACAACGAGCCTTCCGGTACTTGATCGATCCGAACACTCTCTGATATCTGCCTCAACGTGGCGTCGTTGGAGTAAAGAACCGGTAAAATGTTCATTTCAGATTTTTGCATTTCACTGTTGTGTTTCTCTTTACAGTGCTTCCATCTTCCTTTTTGGCCAGTGACTTCATGCGTTGTAATCCTCTAGTACACGCGCTCCTTTATTTTTTTCTGATATAAATGTCATTACACTTTGTACATTTTATGTCATAAGTCACGCTCTGTCTATCACACCGTCCTTTTCCATCTACTCTACACACTGGGCATTCCCCTCTTTTCCATTTTCGTGATTTAAACGGATCAGACCTCTGGAGTAACTTTTTAATCGCAACACCAGCTCAGTTTTTCTACCACTTTGATTTTGAAACCTTGTCGCTTTATTTCTTTCTCGTATCACCTCTGTAGCTGTGAATTGGGTGTAGCTGGTACAAAAATACCGCCTCGTTTCCGCCTTTTTTGTACTAGTTGCTCCTCTTCCTCGCTTTTTCTTGGTTTCGTTCCTCTCTCTTCCATTCTCTGGGTCGATGTAAAGGTCTTTCTCCTTCTTGATCAGCTTTCTCTCTCCTTTCATATGCCTTAAGGGCCGAGTTGACAACCTCAGTACTGACTCAGGAGGTCCTAATTAAGAGTTCTACTTAATTGTAGCAAACTGTTGCCATGGAAGAGGAGGGTGGAGAATGTTAACGAGATGGTTTTGAGAATGCAGTACTCGGGGTTCTGCGAGAAATTCAGGTATGAGGTTGTCAACTCGGCCCTTAAGACGTGATGTCTTATTTTGCAAGTAGTTCAAGTTATTGGAACACATTCTTAGTCTCGGCATTTACAATTTCGCAAAAATCTTCCATTTTTCCTCTCTGTAAATAGCTCATTGTAAACTTTTCTCGAGGCTTTTACTCGCTCAATGCGAAATAAATCACACAAACATTTTCAAAACCGCGCATCGTGTGAACTGAACAAAAAAAAAAAAGTTTTCCGTGACGTCATCCATGTATCCGTAGTCTAATAGAACATGGGTAACGACCAGCGCGCGTAACATTCACATCACTGCATAAACTCTTTTTATTAAAAACTGAACCACTGGCCATGGACAATGCAATGCTAGAGCGCTGATTGGTTTAGCCATAATGGTATATGAGCCATTGTTATATTCCTAGAGTTTCACTCAACTAAACTAAACTTTCTTGGTCACATGGCCTTGACTAAAATCAAATGTATCCCGATCGTGATACATTAAGCAATGTACCCCGCTCGGGATATATTACAACACGTGATCAAAGCATATTGGATAGTTACGTGACAGAAGGCGGGAAAAACACTGCCAGGTCCTGCCACTGGCTGCCAGTTTTCTTTTTCGTGAATGAACGCAACAACATCATGAAGCCTCACGCTAAAAAGCAACGATTATCAAACATCAGTGACTCCCTCGCCTGCGGCTCGTGTGCCACTTCTTTGTTTTTACCACATTTTGACGTCTACAACGTCAACTGTGATCTATTACTGAACAGACGCACAGCAACATGGAATATCTTTGTTAAGCAGACCATGACAAATTGTTGGTTTTGCATAGGCACAAGAGAGTAGCTCGCTCTGGCCGGATTATAGGCTCCAGCTCCTTCTTAGTTACATTGGTTTGAAAAACGAGCGAGCAACTCCTTTATGCCCACGCAACGGCGTGTTCGCAAACCAGTTCATTTTTAGATCGATTTTCTAGCGAATTTTGAATATCAGATAAGTCTTACATAACAGTCATCAATCATCCGGTGCTACCATGATACGTTTATTCATTGATCATAAAAATGGTATGTTTTTGGTTACTTTTCTTTAAGGTTAATGTAGTTTCCTTCAACACAGAAGCCTCAACAGATGATGGTTCTGATGTCACGTCTTGTTTCAGTGAGAGGTTAGCTCTAGCAGTTCCTGAGAATAAAAAAAGCCTAGAGAAATACATTGATGGACTCAAGTTTAATGAACAACGTAAGTCTATTGTAATAGTCATGAGCTTTTATTTTCAGTATCGTGTTATTCCCAAGCAAGCTCCCTAGCCTGCTAGCAGTCGTTTCTGTTTCCTTGAAGTAAGAGGTGGGAGAGGAGGGGAGGGGAGAGGCGGGGAAGGGAAGGAAACCGTTTCCTTCTCTTTCCCGACCCTGTCCCCCGCATTTACTTTATTGCTTCTTTATGCCTCGCGCGACTTTCGTCCTTACAACGCTAGACCTAAAGGAAACGGAAACGACTGCTACGCAGGCTACAAGCTCTTGTAAGCGGCCATTTAACCCTTACATCTTTAGTGGCCACTTATGGAACCTTGATTCTCTTTTAAAAGGCGAGGGGCCTGTTTCTCCAAAGGTCCGGAAACTTTTTTTAAGCCGGAAGGCAAATTTTCAAATCAAAACATGTTGAATAGTAGCACAGTTCCTAGCTCACAAACCCGTCAATTTTGCTTGGTTAACTGATAGCTTCATTGTGTCATTTGCAAATTATTGAAGCTTGAGTGTAAACACGGCAAACATAAACCAGCTCTCCAGGCAAGAAAAGTTGCCGGGCATATCGAGAAACGGGGCCCAAGCTCCAGTAACGTACATCTTTTTCGCGTCCGGAGGGTGTCCACTTACCAGACTTTCCACGGTAGTTCCTTATAATGTCATATCACCAGTCGTGGCATCAAGGTCCAACTGTTGCAGTCCTAATAGGAATCATGATCATCAGCATACCTGCACCAGAAAGTGACATGGCCGGACATGAACGTAGTCTGCCGTACATATGAAAGAAATGTAGTCGTTAGTTTAGCGGTCGTGTCTTTGCCTTAATGGATAACATGGAGACTGTACACACACTCTCTAGTTGTCTCCAGCCTCCTCCCCAGGGCGCTTTTCTCTGGCTTTGGAGGTGGGGCGGGAAAAGGCCCTTGCATCGGCCGGCCGATCCGTTATTTTGATTGGTTGATTGATTTAGGTAATTCAGTAAGTTAAATAATTTATGCATTGTACCGAAACCGAAACCGTATGTCCACTCCAACGAAGATTTCTGCAAGAAATCCAGTTCGCAGGCTATGTGGCGGTTCTCATGACAGTCGCTATATGCTTTGAATATTTAGCATAGCCGGGCCATCTAAAGATTTGTGTTCAAAAGTTTATAAAAGCAGTGGTATAAAAATTTCTGAGGACGATACGAGGTTAGCACTGCTATGTAGGAGTTGCGTCACATTCGTAGACAAAATGGATTAGTTTATTCGGAGAGCTCAATCTCTAGACAATACGCCGTCTTATATAAACTCAGAATATTCGATTCTGTAAAGCGCTGCTTTCAACTTTCACCGACTTCGCATCAGCCATCAAAGCTTCTACTTGTATGAAAGGATATGCCAACCGAAAGCTTCGATGTGGTTGGTAGGCCGTCACAACTTTTAGCTCATGCCAAAATGCTATTTCCAAAACGTTTTTTTTCTTGTGCTAGGTAGATTATGCTCTGGAAGGTTCTACATTTTTTTCTGAGTAGATGTGATTTTAGCCGCTTGTTTCACACTGAGAGGTCATGGTACACATATCTATTTACTGTGGTTTTTTTTTTTCTGGTCGGCAAGATTTACCCTCTGATGCAAGAGTCTTTGCTTTGACCTCTTTTGAGGCGTTAAGCTTTTTATTACGGCCGAATAAGGGGTTCCAGTTTTCTCCAAAGTGCCTTCTGGATCTAAATAACTAAGCGATTTTCTTTAGTCCGTGAATGTAATGTTTTTCTGCAATGTTGTATCACGCTGGGCCCAGCTCGTCAGTTTAGTTTGCAGGATGTTAAATTATTATCAAGGACAGTGATTTTTACAGTTCCAAAATTACCTGAATTATAAGAATGAAGTGCAGGCTTAAACTGAAGCTGCATCAACTATGGAGAATTGCATTGTGACTCAGTAGACTCTGACAGCATAGTCTTTTTCTGAAGATAATATGAGTCTCTTGACTAGAGTGCGTATTCCCTTCCTTGGTAACAGCTTTTGAATTGGACTGTTTTGTTATTGCGACTTTCTGATCAGGCAAGGCCATGATTTCGGTTCTCCACGTGAACCTCATTAGTTGCCGAGTTGGCTTTGTGCTTAGTTGCTTTTACAAGAAGAGCAACTTTAGTTGTTCTTTATCGTGGCAAGAACGGTACAGCCGTGAAATAGCATCGACTTGCCAAATCCAGTTGGCAAGACTCCAAAAACATCCTGGCCTTTCAGGATAGATTCGAAACACTTTACTTGAAGTAGTTTAAAATTAAGCGATGGAAAGTCACCGTTACTCAGGGTCCTCAGGGAAAATCCGACCGGGCGAAGCACTGATAAGAACTCTGGTCTACCCGCCATCTCGGATGTTTTGTTTATCGTATGCGATCGTATGCTAATTTAGTACACCCACAAATTCTGGGTGTTTGGTGGTCATGTGACCGGTCGATGCCAGGGCCTTTTCCCGCCCCACCTCCAAAGCCCGGGAAAAGCGCCCTGGCGACGAGGTTGAGTTTTCCCATAACTTGGAAGGAAAGCGACAAAGCGAGCAAAGTAAGCGCCAGCGAAAATCCCGACGGGGGGTGAGAATGAGCCTCGCCTCATCCCATACTGTGGTGATACTCTCCTCCAGTTCGCATTTTTATCAAATACAATTACGAGAAATATTAATTGTTAAAGTAGTATTTTGCTAACTGGCTGAAGAGTTAAGTCTGTAGTATAGGGCATTTTTTTCACTAGTCATGCTGTATTTTAACGAGTTCGTTCGACGATCGGAGCCAAAATACAAAAGATTAGTAGAAATATTTCAGCCACCATAATGGTTAATTGTCCATAGGAGACCAATTATTCAACTTCGGCCACCAAATACGAATCGACCTTTCGCACACACCAAACCTGTGAAATCCCTCACCGAGACTGCATCTTTTATCTTTTTGAAACGGCTCTCCAGAGTGCACGCTTGAATGTGATCGACATCGTAACGGAACTCGCACTGGAATGTGATTGTACAATTTTCATGTCCTGTCCACACGAATTCGGGTAACATAATACGCGGTTTCAAAAATGTCTGGATTCGTGTGGACCGGGTCTTAGATTTACTGCGATTTCTTGATATATAGATTTAGAAAGGGCTAAAAAGGCAGCTCTCGTTAATATAGTTATAGAAAGTATAGTTTACTCAAACAAAAACATAAAACTCGTTTTGCGGCATTGTTGCGGACAAGTTGCACGTTTTTTTGTTAACCGTTTTACTTGTTGGCTTCACACTAGAGATTCAAGTATAGTGTAAGTGTATTTCAACCCTCCAAGTTGCGACCATTTTAGTCGCCATGGCGCCTAAAATTTTGGAACTGGCGACTTGATTTGGAGAATAGTCGCCAAGATGGCGACCGTGAAGAATAGGTTCGTGTTGGCGTATAGAAACAGAAATGGTGATCACTTCTACTGAAATATGAAGAACATTTATTCTAGCTGATTTGAATTCTATTACTTTTTTACTTTTCCCTTGAAAAACATGCTAAATTGAAAACTTAAAAAAATCTCAGAGCTAAGCGTTTTGAAAATGAACATCAATGAAACTTGACTTGCATTCGTTCGCCAAATCGCCTTCAGTCTGTTGCCTTGCACGTGACATTTTAACTTTTGACACATGACAAATGGCACGCTATCGAAGCGCCTTGCTTGTCGACAGTGACGATTTCTTCGATATCTTAGGAATGCTTGTCAAGCCAAGTTCGGTGGTTTTTTAACTGGACTACATATTATAGATATTTTTGAATCAATACTGAAACAATCTAATAACATGAAGAGGGAAAGCTAAATTGGTGCAAATTCAAAACAGAACATTATGTGATAACAGTAACATGTGAACCGTGCTGCGAGTTGAATCGCGGTTTTGTAAACAAAAGCGATAAATGTAAGCGAAACTAAACATCGCAAAACTGACAGCTTATGGTTGTTGCAAAAAATGGTTTTTTTAAAACACCTGTAGCGATGAAAAAGGAAAAAGAAAATTAATTTTATTATTTCGTAAGCGGCATTTTTGTTTGGGTTCCTTTCAATTGATTGGGAAAAACATTTTTTCCCAGTACAACTCGTTGCGAAATTTTCACAAGCGCGTTATCTCTATAAAGCAATGATTTGATTTAGAAAACTTGTTGATCTTCCTATACTCTCCTGCCTTTTTCAGGCTTTCGCGATGTCTAGCGATATTAAAAACGACCTTTTAAATCTCCAAAAATATTTGATAGTTGGAGAAACAAGTTCATCATCAACAAAAGTCGAAAAGAAATGCGAAACAAATATCAGAAAAAAAATAGGTCGCCTATCAAGTTGCGACTGGGAAATTTTGAACAGATTAACAGAGCATGAGTTAAGTTCTGCTCTCATATACCAACTGGGGATTATACAGAAGGATTGAAGGTCCTAAAGACAACTGGAAATGGTAATTGTCTTTACAATTCCGTTTCAGTATTGATTCAAGGAGATGAATCTGCAAACCTTATTCTCAGACTATCAGTAACTAATGCCTTGCACAATAAACGAGTAATTTATAGACAGTGCTGCATTTTAAGTTAAACTTGCTAACTGCTTTTGTTAATGACAATTTTTATATGTTAATATATTAATATAATTTGGCGCCTAAAAATTTCCCCTGGCGACTAAACCCAAAGAGCTGATCGCCAAATGGCCACTGAACAAAAATTTTAACTTTGAGGGCTGTATTTGAAACCTACTTTGAGTGTGAAGGGCTAAAATGTACCCACTTTACTTGGTGACCATGGAAACTTTCGTAGTTCAAAGAAGCCGAAGTTCTCCCTCAAGTCTGGTCTTCACTACACTCGAGAACACAATTGACTAATAAGAAATGGAAGCCATGTGCACGATGTGCAAGACGTGCAGCGGTTCCAAGATTCTAATGAACGGAGAGATTACTTGGCTTCACATTAGAAGTTAACTTAGTTTCAAGTGAGTACTTGATTCAATTGGTAGCCTTTACACTAGGCCGTCATGTAAGACGTATGAGCTTCTAAGTTTTACTTAACCTGAAAGATACGTGTGTTAAGGCCTTAATAAAATCTCACGTTCTTTTACTTTGCATCTCATCAAAATTGGAAAGTTGAAACGATTCAAGAAAAGTTCAAGTGACCTGAAAACCATCCTTAAAAGTGACCTAGCAAACTTGCGGTTTCTTAAGCTTTGAAAAAGGCGAAGCATGTCGATCAATCTTAATTATGCTGCTTGGGAAAATAGCCTCAAGTTAACCTGAAGTAAAAAAGAAACGGTTATGTGTGAAGCTTAATTTTACTTGAAGTATTTAAAATTTACTTGCATGTTTCGAAATATTTCTTAGCTTCTTTAAGCGCTAGTGTAAAGACCTGCCATTGACAGCTTTTGCTTCAAGCAATATACTTTGTCAATAAGTGTGAAGCCATGTTTTCAGTGTGTAGGTGGTGGATGAAGGTACGGACAGTCAGGTGATTACCAAGTTTATCGCCTTGATAGGTTACCATTTTTTCTGGCCCATGATGCTCCGCTGCGCGGCTTCGTGCGAGCGAGAGCGCTTCTATAACCAGGGGATGCGTAATTTAACCTGTCCCTTCTCGCAAGCGTGATGCAATGTTGTTGACAATTAGTTTGAATTAAACTGGTTCACTTAGTAACTCGACTTTTGGGGGGTTTTCCTCTGCGCTTAGAGATTTTTTCTTTCGAACTTTTGCACACAAGGGCAAATGGCAGTGGAACAAGGAATTGATAATTGTGAGGCTTATGATGGCTATTTAGCTTTTATGCAGAAGCCCCCACAAAATAAAACAAAAAAATGTAATGGTAATAAGCGAACACGAGTTTCGAAGAAGAGCAACTATCAAGAAAGAACTTATAATTTGCATTCGCTCGAAAAAATCATATAAACGTAACCCGTCTTTAGAGTCTACTATGTTGAGTATTTTCGTTTTTAAAATGAATTGGTAACGAAGTCTGTTTAGTTAATCTTCGGCAGGAATGTGTGATTGTTACACACAAATTGTAAACGAAGTTTATTACAATTTCAAACTGATTACATCAGCTACATTAGCACATGGTTTGTCCATGCTCCTCCTCAAGTTATGGACATACTCACGTCACCCACCACTCACACGCCTTACGCACTCTACATTATGGACCTTATGTATCCCTACTGGGATCGAATTTTAACTCTAATTCCTAATGTGTAGATTTAGCCAGGGCTAAAAGCGAAGCTCTGGTTAATAATACGTGTCAACAAAAAAAATAAAATCGTGTAATGCTAAACGAGGACGACAATGAAAATGGCTTCAAGATAGATACATAGATAGATAGAAACTTTATTAAAGTGTCAAAAGCCGTCTAGCCAGGGAAAAAAGAATCCCTTACTAATTTGGGGACACCAATTAGGGGAGAATATACAGACTTAAAACTATATACAGTACTAGGTAAAATATCTATAGTTATCTAATTACGAGATTTATAGTAAAAACATAGAGAAGTCAAAATGAACAAAGGCTACAGCCTGCGCAGCCATCATCTAAAAGTTCACTTATATTGAGTTGGGGTATCTTGCTTTTAAACGAAATTAGGGTTGTGACGTCCCTAATACTCTTGGGTAGTTTTGTCCATAGCCTAGGCCCTAGATATCTAATAGAGTGCTTGCCGTAGGTGACTGTCTCATACCTAGGTATAGAGAAATCTACTTGCCTCAGATTGTAATTACTATATTTGGTTCTTTAAAGATGTTACTTATATATGCAGGGCACAGTTTATGCTTTACTTTATACATAAGGATGTACAGATCCTGTAAGCGACTATTTAGCAGTTTTAGCAAGACTAATAGATCTAATGAGCCAAAAAACAAATTGCACGCGCAGCACACTTTTTCTTCTAATTAGCAAAAAACAAATTTGCACGGGCAGCACGCTTTTTTGTCTTTCCCTTGCCGTTGTTTTGCACGACTACAACGCTCTTTTGTACGACTAAAACGTCAAACTTCCTAGTTACACATTATTTTTATAGAGGAATTGGCGTATGTGCTTACCCAATAATTTGTTTTCTGTGTTCACGTTCGCTTTTATTTTTCACTACCACTCATCTTCACCTTGCTGGCCGCTAGCATTTCTCATTTTCTCACTGCCGCTTTGAATTTTCATGTTTTTCTTCCTGCGAAATTCGTCTCCTTTCTTTTCAATAACTCGCTAGAGCTCTTTCTCTGTTATCCACGTTAGCGTAAACATAAAGAATAGCGCCGAAAAAGACACGACTTTGTTGTTATTTTTTGTTTCTAAAAGTCCCGGCGGCCATGTGATTTCCTTCCAAATAAAACCAGAGGTAACCCAGGCTCTGTGATAGTACCACAGTACGGTTCCAGTAAAATTATAGTGTCTGTATGGGGTAAAAATACGATCTTAAAATTTCTAGGAAATCAGTACTAAATAGAGATCAATGAATCTTACTCTGCAGTTAATTGTTGTTGTCCTTATTGCTCCAACGAAGCTTCGTGATAATTTGCAGTAATTTGTTCAAATTCACTCTATATACAATAACAATATACAAGGCAGGAGACACGAGATGCCATTTTCGCTGACATGCTCTCATTCGACACAACTTTTTCCACGAAATTCGAACTCATAATAATAATAATAATAATAATAACGGAAAATAACGGAAAATAAACATGCCAGGATCGTAGAAATAGGATAGCAGCAGATCTAGAAACCAATGAAGCTTTCCCACATAGAGAAACGAATCCCACAGACTTTGACAAACTCGAAGGATATGATCAAAACAGACCGAGAATATGCTCGCCGAAGCAGCCGGGCAGATCAACGCGCGGCCAAGAAAATGAGGCCTAGGCACTGTACAAAAAACTCCATCCCTTTCGCAGTGAGCCTCCGCTTGCGTACCCCGTTCAGAGAAGTCATTCCCGGCTAAACTTTCAAATGAAACCAGTTTTAAGATGGACAGTATTTTGATTTGCACCCGTTTGTTGGTAAATCAAAATGCACCTTGTTAGCGCTCAACAACTTGCAGAGGGATTCAACTCCGCGATACACTCACTTTCCGTAAATAAAGCAAATCCTGAGAAGATATGAACAACCACATGAATTTTCTGAATTTCCATGGCACATATTAAGGCATATTTTCCTACTATAAGACCATAAAACATTAAAAAAGACAGCAAAATCGATCCTTCTCTCCACCGACGACGGATCATTCACGAAAACAACCATGCGAGGAATAAGCTCTTTTAACTTCCGGCGTTTCCGACAGCCAATCAGATCTTGTGGCATTGTTCTAACAGCCAATCAGCGTTACGGCCAAAATCTGGCCGTAACGAGCACAAACTTGTAATAGTTTGTATCAGGCCCAATTTCAGCGGTAGCCGTTAGAGAGAATGTATGAGAACCGCTCAAATTGGGCCTGATCTCAGGTTAGGTTCGCTCTATTACTACTATTATTACTACTTATTAATACTATTCTGTTGTCTGGGCTACTTGCCTTCGTCGCTTCCTCATTGACCAGCTTGAAGCTATCCAGAAGAGGGCCCTGCGAATCGTATACCCTGACCTCCACTATCAACAGGCTCTTGCACAAGCCAACATTACCAGTTTAGAGGATAGACGCGCCCACCTGTGTCTTAAAGTGTGGCACAATATCAAAAATAACCCGGATGGCCAGCTGCACCGCCTTCTCCCTCCCGTGCGATCCGAATGCCACTCTTACCATCTTAGGAACAGTAGCAGTTCTAGCCGCTTCCAGTATAGAACAAAACGCTTGGGTTCTAGTTTTTTCCCAGCAATGGCAAAAATTAACTAATCTTACGAGTCTTGTTATCTCTAGTATTGTCTTTTATCTATATCTGAATTGTAAATAACTTATAAATAGCCTGTAATCCCAGTCCCTCTGAAACAAATGTAATTTTATTTTTAGTTGTAACTTATGTAAGCACATTGCAATTCATAGTTTTTATGCCACCATGTGTATTTTAATAAACCATCGTTATTATTATTATTATTATTATTATTATTATTATTATGAGTTCGAATTTCGTGGAAAAAGTTGTGTCGAATGAGAGCATGTCAGCGAAAATGGCATCTCGTGTCTCCTACCTTGTATATTATTATTGTATATAGAGTGAATTTGAACAAATTAGTGCAAATTATCACGAAGCTTCGTTGGAGCAATAAGGGCAACAACAATTAACTGCAGAGTAAGTTTCGGTCAGGGCTAAAATCAGAGTGCGCGGATATTTTTTCATCAGAGCCTGATCTCTGGTTGTTACGCCATACTGACGAGCCCCAAAGAGGGCGAAACAGCTGTCTATGCCTACAATTCCGCTCTGTTTTGAGTTCTTTCGGTGTCGTGTTGATGTCTTGCAGAGTTAATTTTCACGTGGTACGATCAGCATTGCAGTATTCTGCTTGCAGAATTTAATATGTCTACATTTTTATTTTTGCTGATCAGGTCTTTATAGATCCCACGTTCTTCGGCATATTCGTTTGCGGTCCTGTGCAGTCCCTTGGGGTTAATGTTTGTAAGTTTCATTGATCTTTATTTAGTATTTCCTAGAAATGTTAGGATCGTATTCTTACCCCATACAAACACTGTATATTTACTAGATCTGTACTGTGGTACTATCACAGAGCCTCGGTTACCTGTGATAAAACCTTGACTTGCATTTGGGTTGCCATACCTGTTGATTGAGTTATTTTACATTGGTATGCCTGTGGTAAGGACGGACGGTCGCTCGCTCGCTCGGTGTACGGTCACGTGATTACCAAATTTTCTCGGATAGGTAGATTACTACATTTCCGAGACCTCTAACTCGATAAAATTTATTTGTTTTACGTCCCATCTTCGTTTAGAGGATATTCTTTTCTGATTCGGCAGCCCACCGATACCGCCCCAAATTAGACTGTTCACAGTCCCCTATTTTTTCGTGAGATCGAGGAGATATAGCGCGTCTTACCGTTAATGACGGCCATCTTGATTTTCAAATGTACCGAGGGAGCCGGCGTCGGGGATTATAGCTGTAGGGGGAGGGGGCGAGAAAAATAGAGGGACTGTAATAACATCACTGCAGCTTGCGTTCACGGAGCGCGTTGTACCAGCAACGCAGGCGTTTCATTGGTAATTAGACAATAGATCTTAATTTGCGTTGACAACCGGTTTAGTTTTAAGTTGCCGACACTGACAAGTCGTTGACAAGTCGTCGTTTCTATAAAACGCACGCTTTCAAACCATAAGGTACATCTCTCGCAAACAGACGAACGACTTTTGGTATTTTGCGGATAAATCACGTAAGCCAACATGCTTTTGAAACAGCCCGACCGGGGGAATGTTGTAACACAGTTTCTGCCAGACGAATTTAAATTTAACGCTACGCCGACGCAAAAAAGACGACCTGTCAGAAATGCCTGGCTTTTTATCGGGCGGTTTAACCGTTTTAGTCTGTGGTGAAGCGAGCATGCTAAGCGATTCGATTAGGTAAATGTTTCTCTTGTGCTTCTTTGGCGATTTTATTTGGAGGAATCGCCTAAAAACATTATAAAATCACTGTTTCGAAAGGAGATATTTGTAAACACGCGTAATCGACGCTAAATGTTTCTGGCATGTTTTTCAGCGCCAGCGGAGTTTCTTAATTAATGAATGGTAAAAGGCGTGAAATTCCTGTCACGCCTCCTGAACGCGAGCTGCAGTGATGTTATTACAGTCCCTCTATTTTTCTCGCTTCCTCCCAAACAGCTCCCCCACCCCCTAAGTAGTTTTGACACTCATGCAAGGTGGCAGCCCGTAACGCAAAGTGCTCGATCTCGACGATCTTACGGAGAAATAGAGGACTGTGAACAGTCTAGCCCCAAATGCGCAATTAATTTTTTCTATTTATTGATTTATGACTTTTCACAGGTGCATCTGTTTATCGAGTTGGATTGGAAAAGGCCTTTGATCTGTTGAAAGCTTCTGCTGTTGGTGAATTTGACAAAACTAAGAGGAGAATCATTTTATTTCTCACGGCTAGTAATCCAAAGGATAATAGAAGTCTGATCTTCAAAACGATAAGAGACAGGAACTTGGAGCTTAACAACTCAGTCATAATTTTTACGTTTGGAATTGGCACGCCTAACACTGAAATCCTTACAGACATTGCCAATCAAAATACATCAAAGTATGGCTATCCGCGAAATGTGTCTGTTGGAGATATAACGGTAAAGTACATGTAGACCAGCTATTTACATTTCAGATTTGCAAAGGTAATTCGCTTCCGGAGGTACTGAGCTTCTTTGCCAAATCGCAGACGCAGTGTGTATAATATAACGACGTTTTGGGGTTTTAACGCAGCGGCTACGAAATTTTGAGAAAACCTACAGCCATTGCTCAGCATTCGCCACATAAGAAACGAGAACAAAACCAGACCGATTTAATTGTGCATAGATTTGTGGGATTGCTACTAGGAACAGGGAAAAAATAGGCCATTTCTAAGTTCCCCCGGGCCTCTGTATCAAAACGAGGTTAAGTGCTCAGCCTTTGATATGGAAATTATTTTTCATTCTCATGCAAGGTTGTGCACTTGGCCTCATTTTGAAAGTGAGGGTTTTTGGAACTCGGAAGTGGCCTATTGGCTTATCGCGTCCTTATTAACAATCCCAGAAACAATTGCGGGCTCCTTTTTGCTCAAGTTTCCTTCTCATTTCTAAAGTGGCAAATAAACATGCATGAACAGCTCCTTTTTTTTTTTTTTCAAAAAATCACTTTCTGCCATGGGGCGACAGAAACCCGTCGTCATAAGCCTAGCGTCTTATCTAGAAGGTAAGGGGTTTCTCGTCAAGGTTTGAAGGCGGTAAAGCGCTCAAAAGCATAGTTTATTTTTACACTTGTCACGTTCCTGATTGTGCGTCTTAAGATGGTTCGGTTGAATATATAGCTATACTTTTGATTTCAGTTAAGCTTTCCTGAAAGAGTTGTCTAATATTTAATTAGTTGTTGTTGTAGTGTGAAAGATTTTAAATCTATAAGGGCCTGTTTTCATGGAGGTGAGGGACCCCAGGAAGGTGAGGTAACACGCTTTGGTGGGGTAACCCGCCTGTCATGTAATCTCTCATTTTATTTTGATCACGTTTACATGATAGGTCGGGTGACCCGCCACACGTTACCTCACCTACCTGGGGTCCCCCTCCTCCATGTAAACAGGCCCTTAGTCAAAGCTTTTTCTCCTCTTTTCCCTATTAGCGTGGACAGTACGTATACACAGCAGTCACGGAAGATATTAACTTGCTGCGAACTAAGATGGTATCGTACTATAACTTTCTTCCTCGAGCGCGGCTGGATCAACCAATAGTGTCTGTGCCGTATATTGATGCATTTGGAACAGGTATTGTTTGTCTCTTAACTCCCCTCTCCCCCTCCCACCCCCTCCTCACCCCCTACCACCACAACGTTAAGAAGCTAATATTAATAGGATAAAAGATACTTCTTAGTTTGACTTAAAATGTAAGTTTTTATGTCAAATTTATAGTTTCACATATTGCAATACAAAATTGCGGTAGCAACGTTTCTAAGATGGCCTCTTCGAGGTTTAAGCATGTTTCGGAGGACCATATGACGTCATTGCGAAATTCAAGACCCGCGAATCAAATCCTCGCAGAATTTAAACACGCGAAGTTTTATATCCATTCAGAAAATCCAAATCACAAAATTTAAAGAGGATTAACATGTAATAACAAAAACACAAGGATATGGTAATCGATAAATACAAAGCGATAACTTAGTTTACAGCTGGTAGATTCCATTTTATATCTTTTTTTTTTGCTTAAAGTAACGGTAGTAGATTTCACGTATGGAGTATAGACTATAACTATTAAATTCATCTTTTAGGCTATTAAAATAGCTAGATTCCATCGTACAAATCCCTCAGAATATTATTCACGCAGTTATCAAAATATAATTGCAATTACCGTGTAATTGGTTCCTCGTAGTTCTCATTAACAAGTTTCTTGTAACGTTCCAACACTAAAACGTTTTTCAGGTCGAGTCTAGTTCGAAGCAAACATAGTCAATAATGTGAAATAGTTATGAATCCTGTCAGAGTCCTCTGTTATATGTTTCTGTAGGAGAGAATAATGGGGCATTATTCTCTCTTGGTTTTGTTAGCTTATTTTAACTTGACTGGTGCACAACTTTCAATTGGTTTCATTTTTCCTTCTATTGAAGGATATACACAAGATGAAATAGACCATCTCTTTAATTCAATTGTGAAACCCTAAGTTATTATACGGTCTTTCAGTTTATGCTGCAAGTGTTTCCGAACTTACTGTTATACAAAGGTTTTTAAAAAGATGCTATAAGAGGCGTTATACGTCGGTTAATTACAACATATATGAACTTCTGGAGAAACGCGACAGACGCCTTTTTTGTAGCCTCAAACGCGATGACCATCCATTAAAAAGCTTGCTCCCAAGGTACAAAGACTGTATTGTAAACCTTCGTAGGAAATCCATTGTCAGGCCCAGCATTAACACTGAACGTTTCAAAGATAGCTTTTTTAATAGATTGATTTTTAAATATAATCTAGCTGTGTAAATACCCCATATCTATTTTTAATCAATTTAATCTTTTTTTTTATTCATCTTGATCATTGTAATTTTTTTTTCCGTCAATATATATTTTTACTGTAACATCAGATATGTAATTTTATCGGATGCTTTTTAATAAAGACGTTATTATTATTATTATTATTATTATTATTATTAAAGACGTTATTATTATTGACAAATAGAAACGTTGCACTAATTTATTCAGTTACAACAAAATAAGTTACAAATATGAACAAAAAACAAACGATTGTGCACCGTCAGCAAGTTGCATGAAGGTACTTGAATCTCAAAATTTGATGCCCTTTTTTCATATTTCCCCATTCAAGAAAACGCGAAGATATAAAAACCAACAAAATAAAGTGTCACCAAAATGGTGAAGTTAAGTACCTGTGAAATTAACTGTACCGATAAGGTACTTGGTGACGGAAAACAGGTAATATTGTGTCGTCGAGGAATGAAAGAGCTCGAGGAAAATTTTTCTCTCGTCAGGTCTTTTGATGTCGATCACTCTTCCATGCTACGATGAAACAGGAAACTTCATTGGCGTAGCAGGGACGGATATCAACCTGGAGGACCTTCTTTCTGAAATCACATTCTTCAATCAGGACCAGACAACCTACGCTTTCATGATCGCTAAAACGGGAAGGACCTTAATTCACCCTCTTCTTCCAGCACCTTCTGGAGCGTATGAAGACCCTTTTTTCATAGACATTAGGACCTTGGAAACTGATTCGAAGTTCCTTGAAGTGTTTGCTTCTATGACAAGGTATGTATGCATGTGCATTCGTTGTAGCTAGTTGCTCTTATGGCTCTTTTATTTTGCGTGTTTGTGTCAGTGGCCTCAACCCATGAACAAGAGAATGCTAGCTATATAGGTGAGCTGGGAAAGACGTGGGTGTTGTTTCGTGACGTCAGGGACGTACTTATGTGTGTAAATCTGTATAAATTTCTAGGTGTGAAAACGACGTTCTTTGCTCTGAGTGCCATAACAATGGGATTAAAGGAACTCTACTCCTCATTTTCCTGCCTAGCCTGGAGATTAGGGTGGGGTGGGCTGACGCTTATGCTTTTAGAACGTGAATGAAGGTGAAATGGTGACGATCTTTGCTAGTTTGCTTTACACCTTTTTTGACTTTGGTGACTTTTCTGTTTTAAACAAACAGAGGTGAATCTGGATCAACAACTTTCGTAGCCACACGGTATTTATCTCGAGGAGGTGACATCGAAGACGGAGGACTGGTAAAGCAGCTTAATTCATCTTATTTTTGGTCTCCAGTGGAAAAGACGGATTTTTCCATTGGTGTGGTTATACCTGTTACCCATGAAAACGAGGTGTTAAACACTTTAAAAATTCCCAAAGGTAAGGATGGTTTCAGTTTAACAAGTTTAAGTCATCATCGTCCTTCAATTCCCTTCTTGTCCCCTAAGGAGAGGCCAGATGTCAGTTAATCGCTAGTTGTGATGGGGTGGTGGTTTTTTTTTTCTTTTTTTTTGGGGGGGGACGCTTGGTGCTAATGGTTCATTGTCATAAACGTGTTTTTGCCTCCATTGATTTAGGGTATTCTTTCAAGTATCATCGAATAGACTTGGATCCACCTCAACATCCTTGCTTGCATTTTGGAAAGACTGTAACTAGCAGTGAGTATAATTAAAGTACTTTTATATAGCTTGTAAGTAGGGAGTTTGAATCAATATTTCCTTTATGCCTTGTATCTTATTTGATCCGTGAGCACCCTGCGGGCAGAGCCTCCTTTTGTCTTCTTGAGCGAGGAGGAGAAAATGAGGCTCTGCCTGAATCGCGTGAAGCCTTTAATTGAAGCAGCCGTAGCCTGAATTTCTGGGCCACTCAGTCTTGATTTTCGCTCGTCAAATCGGTTTTTGGGTGCGAGCATTCGTTTAAGAACAAAATCGACTGTTTTAACTGAGCCCACTGTATCAAGCGGACGGCTATTAGGCCTGGGTTTGAAACTGTATCCCAGCAACGAGCAACACATGATCAATAAAGATTAAAGCAGACTCTCTCTCGAGTTCGCCAAAATCGAGCAAGAGAGCTAAGGAACATGAAAGGAAGGCTCTGCTGGAAGAGTGATGCGTTAGCTAACGCGTCGTTGGATCATGAATTTATGTAGCTTAAATGTCTGTCTTTTTTATAAATTAGAGGCTATGATCATAGGAATGATAGAAAAAATGGTGATCCGATCTTTATTTATTAGCATTGATAGTTAAAAAGTACATTATCATTATCATTTTTATCATTTTATTTATCATTGCTACTGGAGAGATTTAGAAACGACGAGCGGCAATCGTTAAGTTATACGTCACCATCATCTCCTTTTACATTTTATCTGCACAAAAAGAAGTATTTTCAGCTCAGTTTCATCCATAAGAAGTATTTTAATCTGCTCATTTCCTAGGTTGTGAAATTGTCACCCTTTGCGCTATCAAAACATCCGAGGATGATGATTATAATAATAATAATAATAATAATAATAATAATAATAATAACAGTAATAATTATTATTATTATTATGTTTATTTATTTATTGCGTTCGACGTTAGGAGAACGCTTCGTAATCTTTGGGGATCCTGTGGTCGATGGGATACCTGTGCATGCCAGGCGTGAAGATTCGAGATTTTTGGTTACTTGGACGGGCGATGTTCAAAATCTGCGCCATTTTGAATAATTATTAAGCGCGCGCACGAATTTTAAGCCCAATAGCCGGCCAAAGAAATTGCGGGCTCACCGGGTGGACATGCGCACACAACTATTTTTTACGTCATAAGCAATTGTCATATGGCAATCACGTGCATCACTGGTTCCATCAAGGTCAACTAGATGATTACACGGGAATATTTGAGTTCGGCAAAAGAATGAACTTTGGAGTTGTTTTCTAAGCGGGTTTTATCACTGAGCTGATGATTCTGCTAAACTTTTCGGTCAATGCCGTTCAAATCGAGCTGGAACTTCGTAGAAACACACAAATAAAGACCAGGTAACATTTGTGCCGTGAGAAGTTTACCCGTGCGTTTGAGTCTATTTACATATTTGTAGTTTAACCTCTTTCATGCACGAAAAAGTAAGCTTGAGCGTATCAGTGCAGTTTGTTACAACTGTAATGCTTTATTCACGTCTGATATCTCTACGCGGGTAATTTTGCATGATAAGTATCTCGCTCGCTGAAGCAAGCTAAGTTTAAAACATGTTGAACTGACCTACATGAACGTAAAATAATCATGAGATGAAAAGTTTGCACAATGGCAAAAGATTCTGTCCGGTTTTCTGACATCAGTAATCTAGCAGAAACCTAATATGTTTCCGTCGCTCCTATGATCATTGATTTCACTTCAAGTTGTGTCACGCAAGAAGCCAAGACTTTTAACCTTCAAGGCTACCATTTTTTCGAAGTTTGTAGTGACATGTTTATCTTTTTAACAACAAAGAACTTTTTACGATCTACTTTACATTTTTATCGACCATGCTTGAGGGAGAGTAAGACATTTTAAGAGTAGAGAGTTAATGAGTGAGATATTTTGAAGCCGTATACGCGAAGAACATTTTTTACGAAAAGAATGTTTACCTTTTAATTCATGATCTCTTCCATGATTTTGAAATCAAGCTTGACGACACAAAAGCTAATCTGGAGCTAAGAAAACTCGAACGCACTTATTGATCTATGATTACTACTAGTTTTACAATAACCGGAGCTCCTGACAATAACTGAGATACTTCTCCCGCGCTGATTGGTCGAGACCTAATCAGTCGATTAGAGTATAGACCGGCCATGAAAATGACATGATGGTGGCGCAATTTCATTTTTGAGTGCGATATTTTCAGAGATGAAACTTAGCTTCAGCGAAAGGGGACGTCAAAACCTGTCAATGTGAAGAAAAAAATTGACAATTTTTATGGTCCATACTCTTATCGACCATAGAAATGACGTCATAGAGTTCAAACCATATCTGCAGTGAAACCACCCGACTGCGGCTTGTGGGATCACTGGAGTTTAGCTATTCGACGTCATTACTGTGGTGGATAAACCGGATCTTTTAATGCACTGAACCTAATCCTTCAATTAAGTACATGAAAAGATCACGACGCTTGAGTCAATTTAAGTCAGTTCGAGTGGCCCACATGAGAATTTCGGCCGAGCAGCGATTTCGTTTCAAACGTCGAACTTTTCATGTGCCAAACCTAACGCATAAATTATCATCATTTATCTTCACTGATAAACAAATACATCGTGAAAATGAATCAACCCGTGGAACGTTTTTATCATGTGGGTGGACCCAAATAGCTATTAACCTCGGTACATATAACGTTCGACGTTTGAACTTCAATAGTACAGACTATTGGAAATTAAAAAAATTAAACGAGATTTACTTGGAAGTTGGCGTTTGATTGTAATTCTACCTATCCATTGAGTGAGAAGGGGATTACGTGAGATTGCGCGACCTGCCAGCTCAGCTCAATGCGTTCTTGCTCAGCAAAGCGATCGGAGGTTTCATTTGACTCTCTCTGTCTGCGTTAGAAATTTGGAAGAGTACCTGACACCAACGGACGCTACACCGTAAGAGAAGAACAAAGTTTTGGAGGTTTTTAAGTCACACGTGGTCTGTATAGGTAAAATCACTACTGAGAACCACTAGCCTATTTGGGCGAGTTAAACGAGTCTCGCAAGAACGCGCGAGCGAGCGGCGAAAGCCGCGAGGGGCAGAGGAAAGGAGTGCTTGCAACCATCCCTTACAAATTTTCATTTGTACTTCGCCCAGACGAAGGGAAATACCATTGGCTGAAAAATAACGTTCCGGAAATCAAAGTTGACTGATAACAGGCCAAGCTGGCACCCGCTTCGTCGGTGTGTCAAATTTGGTTCTCAGGGGGATCAGATTGGTATCGAGAACTTGTTTCAGCCCTCAATGTAGACGGGCTTGTTTGATGTAATTCTCGCAAAGAGAATATTGTGTGTCGAGGATAATTTGGACCGAGTTTGTACTTCTTGTAGAAGGAAAATGAAAACCCTTCATCAGTTGTATTCATTTGTGTCAAGCGCCTTGTTTAGTTTAAAAAACCGGAAGAGCGAAGTGAAGAGTGATTAAAGCGAAGTCTTCCAACATAGGTTTCTTCGCCCGATTGAATAAAATTCAGAAACGTGTACTTGACAGTGTAGCTGTGTAGCTTGATCGTAAAGACGGAAAAGAGAAAGAGTTGGAAGCAACTGGAGTAAACCTTAAGAGAACCAAGTGCAGGAAAACGCTATTCTCCAGTTCCAGACTGACAAATATATGATGTTTTTGTTGGTGATTGCGATGGCGAGTAGTCTTCTACACTGCAGTATGGACGACTTTTCAAAAGTAAACGAAACGAGAATCAAAGTAGTGAGTTCTTATCCGAGCCGACACGTTGAAGTTCGATGTCCCCGTGAAAAAAAAAACATATAAGTGATTAAAAATATTGCTTTGATGCTGTTGCGAACGCGATTTATAAATAAATAATTCTACTCGCTCTCGGCTGTCTAAACTTACTTGACAGGCGGTTGTCACTTTTCTAATCTGCGGCACGTTTGCGGTGACAGTTTTCACGCTTTGCGGAGTCCCGGAATTTCCGGGGTGGAAATGAAAATTTATGAGAGATGGTTGCAAGCTCTCCTTTCCTCGGCCCCTCGCTCGCGCGTTCTCGCGAGGCTCGCTTCGCTTGCCCAAATAGGAGAGCTTGCTCGCAGGCTAAGAACCACGAGCGACTTTACAGTACATATAGATTTAGTAGACTTGGCGGGAAATCCTGAAGTCTTGTCTCTAGGAACAGAAATTGGAAGCAAAAAAGAGAAAATTTCCAATCGTGAAAGGAATGACTCCCACCAAAAAGTGACAAAGCCCAGGGGCAGGAAAGTGACTGAAACTCCTAAAGGCGAGAGAAAGCCAAAGAGAAGCATGGTGAACAGAATACGACAAGCGAATTATTATTTCGTCGCCGTCAGCAAGGGTTGACTCACCGCAGCCCACTATACATGACACATTGCAGGTGACAATGCAAGCTGGTGTCGTTCACCTTGCGAATATCTGACAAGAAGAGAAAGCTCGAAAGAGTATAACAAGGCCGGCTGGCAGGTCGCGCAATCTCACGTGATCCCCGAATGCCGTAATGGTGAGGTAGAATTATTGTCGATTTGTTAAATTGTTACCTTCATTTTGTTCCCGTAGATACAACCGTTGTAAAATTTGCCCCACTGGCATTTATGGACCCTTACAGATATATTGGCATGAACGAAACCACAGTTGACGTGAAGCAGCTTCATGATTTTATGATGGGAAAAACGACTTCGAGTGAATATCAAGAGTTAAGACCAGACATCCGTGACACCGTCATCGCTACTTGGAAGGCGGAAAAGCTATGGCTAAGTAATAAAACTGAGCTTACTCAATACTTGGTTTGGCGATACGTTGGAACAGCCAATGGAGTTTTTAGAGTGACTCCTGGTGCTGTGGAGCAAAAAAGCTATGACCCCAGAAATAGGCCTTGGTAAGTGTGTATACTTACTTCCAGTAAAGAAAGATCTTCTTGCTTAATAAGTAATCCTTGTAAAACATTTAGGTTGATCTGAACGGCCTTACTTGCATTGGTATAATTATTGCTCTTGATATAATATTTTCATTTTGCCAGGGCTAAAAGCGAAGCTGCCATTAATAAATTTATAATTTAAATCAAACAATGAACTTGTATCCCACAATTCAGTTTACTTTAGAGCACATTCATGTGACTTTTGAGGGAAAGGCTAAGTGATTTTAGAGAAAAATAATTTGCAAACAGCCAAAGAGTGAACCAACTCTTACATCGAGTTGATAGCCTCAATAAAAGAAATATAATTCGGTGAAACATTTACAGAGACAACAATTTTCATTCACGAAGACAAGTATTAAAGTTTTTCTAAAAATCCTGCCTCTTAAAGCTTTAGCTTAAGTTTATGTTTTAAGCCGGCCTCCCGGTGTTTGCTTTCTTCAAAGATGAACTCGAGGCAAGAAAATCGCTCAAAGTTTTCTTTTCACAGCCATCTTTATAACTAAATATTCTTCGGAACGTTTTCTTTCTAGAAAAAATATATCTAAAGGCTTTTTAAAGTTGAGTAAGCTTATATCAAACCTGATACTAGGTCAGATCATTGTCTCAAATCTTACAAACGTGCATAAATTTGCCACATAAAGTGTGCTCGACTTCATGAAATTAGATATAAAAAAACAAACATCACATACAGTAATTACTCAGGCCTACCATTGGAGATGCAGCTCCTGAAAGCTATCAAGTAAGGCCAGAATCGTTGGGACTTTTGAACCCCCTTACGCATCAAGCAAGGTGAAAACGAAAACGATGCCATCCGAAATCGGATTTCCGACTTTGAGAAGCGATGCATCTCTCAACCAAAAAACAATAAACAAACTAGCCGCGAATAACAGAAGACTCTTGATAGCAGCTGTATTTCACTTTGTACATCCAGTGTAAAAAGACAGTTAAAAGCATCACTAGTTAACACAAAACTCTGTCAGTGACTGTCAGCTTCAGCTGTCAAAGGAAACAAGTTTAAACATGCTGCACAAATTTTCCGCATTAACTCACCTGTCAAATTTTGACCAATCAGAGCAGAAAAATTGGACGTATAGAGCGTGACCAACGCGTGACAGTGGTAAGAAAAGGTCTTCCCTGCCTGTATTTTTAAATAACTGGCTGAAGTTTCGAGTCCGAGGTTAGTTTGAAATTAAAATCTTAATAGTACGGGGCCATAGTGACATAAACACAACATATTTCATATGAGTTTTTAAAAAAAATAAACTTAACCCTATTCAGACTGGGCTTTTTTGGTCAGTCTATGACTGGGGGGGGGGGGGCTCCTCGGACTCCCCCTCTATATCTCTGGTCATGGAATTTACACACAATGATCATCTCCGTACAAAGAAGCCTCACACCCAGTTTTGACTTGCCACGCCCAATGATGACGTCACAGTGACGTCATATTCCGATTTTTCAATGTTTCTTATTATTTTTCCACTTAGATACGTAAAATATCAATAATATTGGTAAAGTCATCTCTTTAATATCCTTTCTTATGAACTAGTAACAAGGAAACACTTGTACAGCGAGAAAAAGCAATAGGAAGTAATAAAATTTAAAATTTGAAATGGTTGTCCGCCATCTTGGATCCGCCATCTTGGATTTTCGTTTTTTTGTTAAAATTATAATTTAAAGCAACTTTCAAAGGGGAAAAAGCTCAGAATGTATAAAAGAAGTATCAAACTAATGTTTATTACCCAAACAAATGACTTTGGAAGTGTTATTTGGAAAATAGAGCAGCATATTTGTCAAAGCAAAAAAGTGACAAATTTTACCCCACCCCTGCCCCCAAATATTCGATGTTGAAACATTTTGATGTAATTCAAAAACTAGTCCCAAGCAAAGACCATTTTAACAACAAAAAGCACTATAAGTGTAAAAACGCGATCTTAAACCAAAAAAATCACCATTTTTTAAATCTTCCAAAACCTATGTGTCAGAAACTGGTTGCCATGGCAACTTGATTAATCACATGGACATGGTAATAATACCAAAATGTTCCTAGATAAATTTTAGGAGAAGTCAGAAAATTTGAACGTCATAGCTCTTTTGGTGTAGGAGTTATCACGATTTTGCCGGAGGGGGGGGGGGTTCCAAAAGCCCCCCCCCCAGTCTGAATGGACACCTAAGCCCGTGATACGGTCAGGTGATACTGGTCAGCGGATGCCTTGTTTTGACAGCTGTCAATTGATCCATAGATGTTATCCATGATTGATCACAACATTGATGTGCAATCAGTTTTCTCCTGGACTCCCAAAGTAGTTAGTAACCATTGGTTTTCCCGTGGTGCGGACGGACGGTCGGTCGGTCGGTCGGTCGGTCGGTCGGTCGGTGTACAGACACGTTATTACCAAATTTTCTGGGATGGGTAGATTTACTTAGCTATGGGGCTCCGAAGCGCGCTTGGAGCTCCGTTAATAATAATAATAATAATAATAATAATATAAAATAATACAAACACTTGGTAGCAAACACTTGGGCTGTGTCGTTCATGAGGTATGGAGCAGGAACAATTAAATGGAATAAGGAGGAACTTCAGGAAATAGATAGGAACTCTAGAAAAATCATGGCAATGAATAAGGAGCTACACGCTAGAAGTGATGTTTCCAGAATATACGTACCCAGAAAGAAGGGAGGAAGAGGCGTGATCAGTTGTGAGAGCTGCGTGAGGAGAGAAGAGAACAACTTGAGTTGGTATGTAAGAAATAGTGAAGAGGCATTACTCAGGAAAGTTGGAGATAGCAATGTAGTCAACATCTCAGAGGCTGTGGACGTAAAGGAGTACAAAGTGGAAGAAGTAAAGGAGACGGAGAATGAATGGAAGCAGAAAAGAATGCATAGGCAGTATGTGAGAAAAAAGGAAGGTATTGACTGGGATAGAACTTGGCAGTGGATTGCAAAGGGAGGTTTGAAAGGATGTACTGGGGCCCTGATATGTAGCGCCCAGGAAGAGGCTTTGAGAACAAATTATACGACATTTTATATTGATCAAACAGCAGAATCCCCTTTGTGCAGAATGTGCGGAGGTAAGGGAGAAACGGTGGCCCATGTTGTAGGTGAGTGCGGTAAGCTGGCGCAGACAGAATATAAAGGAAGGCATGAAAACATGGCAGGGTATATTCACTGGCAACTTTGTGGTAAATGCGGATTGGAAAGAGCTTATAGCTGGTATGAAAAGAAGCCGGAGGGAGTGGTGGAAAGTGTATGAAAACTTCAAGATACTGTGGGATTCCACAGTCCGGTGTGATCGGAAAACTGAAGCAAGAAAACCAGACATTGTCTTTATTGATAAGAAGGAGAGAGTGGTTATCATAACTGATCTTGCCATCCCAGGTGATGACAGGGTGAAAGGTAAGGAACTTGAGAAGTAAGAGAAATACCAACTATTGAAAGATGAGATTGCAAAAGCCTGGCGCATGCGAAAAGGTATTGTAGTGCCTGTTGTCATTAGGGCCCTTGGAGCCGTATCAGTCAACTTTAAGGAGTACATGAAGCGAATCGCCGTGAACGTGAGGTTGGAAGTTATCCAGAAAACAGCATTGTTGTGGACAGCAAAGATACTAAGGAAAGTACTGTCCCTGTACGAAGAACGAAAAGAGAGACCTGGGACCCGTTGTGACTTGTTGTAACCCGCTCCCAAGGACTATAAACCAGGCCGAACATTTTGCCTGAGTCTACAAGGAATGGACACAATAATAAAACCGCGTAATGTTGACGCATAATCTTTCGAGCGCGCGCTAGTTTTGGTCAGGCTCGTAAGATGTTAGGGTTTGCGAAACACGCGTTTCTAGTTTGAGAGATATTATTTTTTTCCCCTGCAGGTATCACGCTGCCGTAAGTCACTCAGGCTATCTTACTCTTACAACTCCGTATCTGGATATGGGAGGAGCTGGGGAAGTTATTACCGCTGCTCGTTCTTTGTATCGCAGAGAGTCTAGGGATAATGTTCTTGGAGTAATGGGAGCTGATTTTCCTTTGAGACACTTTTACAGGTATACGATGGTATAAGTGTAGAATACTTTGTTAAACTGTTTTCATGGGGCTAGCTTTTTGTTTCAAACTTTGATATGTATTACATTTTACATGTCAGTGCTGAAATCCCAGAAATATACTTTTGCTGACCTTTGTTCATATAATCAGGTTTTTAACATTCATTCAAAATTTTTCTCTGTTAAGTTTATGATTGGCTCAAATCCCCCGACTGATTCTTCACAAACAGCGCTATTGATGGCGTTGAACAGTTTTGAAAGATCTTTGCCGATATCAAAGAAACTGACGTCAATTGTACTGATATGAACAGAAAAGAGGACAGTGAAGGGGGCGGTAGCTTAGCTGTTTTGATAGTGCTGGAGATAATAGTGGAACTCACATGAAGCGAAGATAAAGAAAAGAGGCGTCTCACCGCCGATACCCATTTATACACATGGATAAATTGAGGCACGGTCAGAGTAAAACCGTTGCCAAAGAAAACAACGTAATGACCCGGCAGGGCTGAAAATCCGCATCTCATAATCTGCATTTGGAGTCCATGGAATAAACTATTAAGCAACTGCACCTCCCGTTAATTCAAGGCATTTTAATTACATCTTTCAGGCTACTTACAACGGTTTATCCCGAGTGCGCAGAATCAGAGCCGTATTCATGTTTCATTATGGATCAGTCTGGCTTCCTCGTAATGCACCCGGATTTCATGTTGCCCTCAGCCGAAGCTTTCGATGTAGAGCACGTTCATATCACCCAAAAGGAAAAGAGCGTCGCAATTGATTTAATTAGTCATGGCTACTTAATAAAGAGGACGTGTCGAAATGTGGAAAGTATAAGACAGCAGAGCTTTTATGAACTTCATTTGCCTCCGGAGGGATTCAGTACATTACAGTCAAACCAGGGATGCAAGTATGAGCTTAGTCAAATACCTGGAACAAACGTCTACTTAGGTTAGACAACTGATATGCTGTTAGTAATACACAATATTTTTTTGCCAATTGCTCGTTATAGGAATGTAGTACCTATTTGTAAAAGAAATGGGGTGGGGGAGGGGTAATATTTCACGTACGTGAGTCAATTATAACAAGTATTCATCGCTCGTGCGAAGCTCGATCAGTTTTATGTAAAATATAGCAAAGATATGATTAAAGCACTTACGCTGCAGAAATGATAAAGGGCTCCGCTTTGTCCCCAAAAGTTGGTTAATCACACCCGACTAGTCTTAAAACGACTCATTTTCTTGGTCCATCTTTGAACAAAATAGTGCCAGATGCAAGTTATGTTTACGTCCTTTACGAAACCTTGTAGAATTTTACTCGATTAAGCTTTGATGATTTAAAACTTTCAGACATATTCAAACGGATCCAACAACATCTAAACATGCATATGCTAGATATTTTAACGGGCTTTGATAGAGTTTTGTCATGCATGGTGAGAGCCATACTGTTTGTCAAAGCTTAGCTGAAATTACATCTTTAAGTATTCTTGTTCATCTTTTCTCGTACATGAAATTTTTAAGGACCGATATCAAATGATTCTATCAAAGCAATGATCCCTTTCCATCTTGGCCGTTTCAAGATAAAGATATGCACTTTATAGTTGAAGTATGAGTGGCAGAGTGGTTCAGCCATTGGATTCCAAAGTGCCTTTAGGGTATTTAAGTAACCAAAAAAAAACATCGTGATAATAGTTCCCTTTATGTGTAGTTAAGGCCCGGTTCAGACGCCGCTCCACTCATGTGCCGCACCTAACTGATGAATTAAGTACGGCAAAAGAGCGGCGTCTGAATCAATTTGGTACGGCAGTTTTAGTTTGGTGCGGCAAAAACGTTAAGTTCGACAGAGTCTGTCGAACGTTTGTCGAACTTAACTTAGGTTCGACACACGGTACGCCGTCTGAATCAGATGTCGCGCCAGTGTCGATCCAAAGTCGAACTTATTCAGTTAAGTTCGGCACATGAAAAGTACGACGTCTGAACCAGGCCTAAGTAAGGTCAACTTGCCTTCCCTCTCTGCACAGGTGTTGTCGCGCGGGATTCCCTCTGTGTTTCATCGTCCTGCTCGTGCTCTTCAGATAATGAATGCTCCTCATTGACTGATTTGAAGTGTGAATGTCCCTGTACCTCCGCTCTGGAATTTTTTTATTGTCGAAGTCAGTTTCCAAACAGCAGGTTAGTCAACATAATCCAAAGTCATTTTGTATTAAGCCAAAACGCAGCTTTAAAAGCTCTTTTCAATAGCATACGACTTGGAGTCAAAAACTTAACCAACGGTTGAAATCTTTGCTTTCTTCAATCAAAATTACGACAAAGTGAAACAATCAAAATGGAACTAAATTCACCAACCACAACATGAAGACGCGAACTGAAAATCGGATGTTTCCTGAAAGGTCTTCTTCGGTTATTCAAACGAAAAACTTTAATGTTGGTTAATTTTTTGGCTTTAGGGGTCGCATATCATTATCACGAACTTCATCATTAAAATACGTAGTGATTTTTCGCTATTTGTAAAAGGAACCAATAGATCTTTACGAAATTAAACCTTCATCGAACCAATAAAGTACTGGTAAAATATGATACGTTACCTTATAGGGGGTGTCGCACTATTTGCTATCTTTTTGAAAAGTTAAAAAGTGTCTTCTCATCAATTGAATTCTAAAAATAATGGTCCAGTTTTGTGATTTAAACCAATATTTAGGCATTAAAACTGTTTCTTGTTGTCAGTTGCTGCGGAGGGAATTAAGGATGGACAGGGATTGAAACTTGAAAAAGTTGGGCTAAGCTTTTGAAGACCAAATGCCTTGCGTGCAAAAATCACTAAAAAAAATTATGGCTAGTGCTCCCAGATTCAGTTTGATATCTTCTTCAAAACTATACAGGAGCATTTTATTTATGGGTAAAGGCATTAGTAATAACTTCGGCACAGATTTGACCTAAAACACGATATAGAAACATAACAACATAGTCTCTTACATTATTTGCTCTTAAAAATGGCCAATAGGAGCAGCTTTTTACTAAAGTAGGCAAATTCCCTTTAATAGGGCCCTTTGCATGAGTTGATCACGTGATCAACTTTCGGTATACACGAAAACAGTTCATTTTTGAAGTATTTCTCAGGGCAGAGTGAAAGAGCATATTAAAATTAGGTAACCTGAGAATTTTCAGCCGTATATCTCAAAAGTAGCGATTGCAACCCCCGCCGAAAGTTATGAGCATTTGTAAGAGAAAAACAACTTTTGCCACCCAGTCACGCTTGCATGAAATATTTTTTTAAGCATTACGGAGCTCAAATCTCCCTTCAATTCATAACAGCCCTTAAATGCGTAAGGGAAAGATTTAAGGAAAGTTTATAAATTTTAGAATTTACAAGGATTTGTCAGTGAAAAACCACTAAAACGTGACTAGGTGGCAAGAGTTGTTTTTCTCGTACAAATCCTAATTTTCGGACAGCAGTTGCAATCGCTACTTTTGACATACATGGCTTAATATGCTCTTTGAGCCCGTGCTACTAAAATTGTTCAAAAGCAGACCGTTTTCGCGTTTACCGAAAGTTGATCACGTGATCAACTCAAGTAAAGGGCCTGTTAGCTGCAACAAACAATAAGAATTTCAGTTAGGAACAGAAGAGGCTGTCAAACTCACAAAATTTTAGGTTAATTAGGTGGAACAGTTTATGATTTTTAGTTATGAACAAGGCTAGAATACCCCATCCTGGTGTAGATTTATTGTGTGGTATATATCTACAGTTTTGTAACTCAAGATTAGAGTACCTCATACTCGGGTCAATTATAAGTTTTGTAGAGTTTCGGAATAAGGCTTGAATGTCTCATAATCAGGTAGATATAACTTGTTATATCTGCAGTTGAACCATCCGTTCACCTTTTGTAAGAAACTAATTGACTGATTTCTTTCCTCTACTTTGTTTTGTATAGCCTTCCTTTGTGCCCATCATTTGCACCTTCAGGACAACCTAACAATAATTCTTTAAATCCCAAAACGATTTGTCTTAACAAATGCTTTGATCCCCATTGTGAGAGGAGAAACAGTTCCCATTGGTGTGATGGGATAGTTAGTTGTTATTGGTGCCAGAAGGACAAGAACGGCATAAAACTGGAAAAACCCTACTGCGCAAGTTCCCAACGCTGCTTCAGAGGAAAAGAGTCTGCAACTTATGAACGTAAGAGCACTTGCTTAATAGACCTTTCTTCCATTTGATGTTTTATATCCTTACCTAATTAGATCTTTACTATAAGATCTTGCATAAATCTAAACCTGCAAGCATTGACCAAATTTAGCGATGAAGTGATTGGCATTTTATTCCATACTATGTGATATTACATGTCAGCGACTGCCTAGTGGACCCTTTTTCTTCAAATAAACGTTTTGAATATTTACAAAACTCCCTTTGTTCCCTATAGGAAAGATTTACTAACGTGCATAAAAGTGCATTTATATATCTGTCCGGATTTATAAAAAGGTACCTACAAAAATTTCAAGTGCGTTTTAACAATTTGACCTTTGAGGTGAATAAAAAGCGGTTGAAAGTCGCTAGGTAGGGCTTAAAAAGGACAAATTAACACACGAAAAGTCGCTCTGGCAAAAACGACAGAAATGAAATGAAATGAACAAAATCTAAAAGCACAGAAATTATGACCTTTCAGTCTCTCAAACTACGAGGCTCATAGCGATATGCCCGACTAAAACAGACCAAGAATCCACCTTCCTTGAACCCAGAAACGGTTATCTAAGACAAAATCACTTCAACTAAACACTCACGAAGCGTTTATTTGCTTGTACACAATACTCTTAATTGTAACACGAGCACCACGACATAACTGAATTCTGTCTGTCTACAACTTCAGGAAATCAAAGAATTAACCACTTTCCCGGTACTAATAAAACTATCCACAACCAACCAGGCACAATATCTCCACACTTAATACGAGCAAAATATCAGCAAATTACCCTCTCTCTCAATAACTCTCCTTTCAGTCCACATTAAATCATCATATGTAAACTTTCCTGCCACAGTCGATTTCTTCAAGACCCATGATGCTGAGGAGCCGTTTTGAAAGGGACACATAGAGGCCGGCCTTCAAAACAATTTTTAACTAAGTCTCTGGCTGGTCAGAAAATTAATCTGCACCAATTTTGGTCTCGCCGAATACATGTGACTCCTACAAACTACGTTTTGAGGCCAGAGGCTCGTCATCGCCCACACCAAAGCTCGCAAAATGATGGCTTTCCGCCTTAAGCCCGAGATCAGTGTTTGACCCTTTTAGCCAAAATGAGAGGAAATACGGTAACATATTGGCACGAGCTCGGGGCAGACTTTACCGGTCGTGAGACTTGTTCTTTCATAAGGCTTAATGATACCTTCCGGAAAACTTTGCTGCCAGCGGCCAAAAAGAAATCTAGAAAATTAACCGACCACGGAAAACAACTTCTACCGCGCCAGTGCCGCGGGAGCTGATTTCAAATGTAATAGTGTTTTATGACACGGAGAGAATTATGGGAAATGATAGGTGGGGGAGAGGGGGGAGGTGGAGGTGCTATTGCATTAATGCACCCAAGTGTTAGTAAGTTGAATGAAATAGGGTTCTACTTCAAATTTCTTGTCTTGCTGTTTGTTATTGGTACATTAGTTTCGCCCTTCGTGCTTGTTTAGTGTATACTTTAAATTTGGTCCAAAATATCACTTCTGTGTACCCAATAAAAATTGATGCATGTGAGGAGTTTAAGGTAGAATTCTTTTTCATTCAACTTAAAGAGCTCGCCTTAGTGATACATTGGCTTATTTACGTCTTCAGCTGATAAAGCAAAATGCGTCAAAAGTACGGAGGGCAACAGTGGATTGTCAACTACTGCTACTATTGGAATTGCCCTTGGATGTTCCATTCCTGTTGTTGCACTGGTGATCATCTTACTAATTTTGGTAAGCCAAGTTTTTGATTCCATCAAATTGTTAAAAACGGGGTTAATAATAATAACAATCTTTTAATAGGATGCTCCATCACAAGAGTGGTTTACATAGAGGTCCTAATTACGAGATGTATATTATATAATACAATTAAAATATAAAAAGGTTAAGCTAAAATCGATATATATGATACAAAAAAAAAAAAAAAAAAAAAAAAAAAAAAAAAAAAATAAAAAAAAAAAAAAAAAATAAAAAAAAAAAAAAAAAAAAAAAAAAAAAAATTTCAAGCTAAAATCGAGTTACAAAAATAATTAAAACATACACACTACAAGTACTCAATTATAAAAAGCAGAAAAAAGACACTTCTTAAAAATTGGAAAACTTGCTGAGTTTCTTACAGTTCTCTCTAATTCATTAAAGTCTTTGAAACAGTGGTACCGCGAACGTTGTTTTCCCCAATTATATTTAATTTTGGGGAGCTTGATAGTATCGTTATTGCGCGTATTGTAGGAATGTATATCACTCTTTCTTACAATGTCCAAAGAATGATTAAGTTGGCCATTAATACACTTGTATGCATATATACATCGATGACATTTCCTACGTTCTTCAAGATTCAGCCATCTCAAGACAATCAATGCATCGGTGGATGAGGAGTGAGGTGATCTATCTAATATCAACTTAGCTGCTTTGTTTTGGAGAATTTGCAATTCCTTCATAAGTGAGACATTGTCCTTGTCACCCCAGACTAAATCAGCATAATCAAAAATAGGTAGCACTAAGCTATTATAAAAAAGTAACCGGGCATCATAAGGTAAATAATACTTAATCCTACGTAGAAGACCAAGGTTTTTATTAACCTTACATGAAATATACTCAATATGGTCGGACCATGTGAAAGTTGAAGACAACATAACTCCCAAATATTTAAAACTACTTACAGAATTTATATCAGTGTCAAAAATAGATAACGTGAAAGAGGAAATACCAACAAGTTTCCTATTACTGCCTATAATCATGGATTTCGTCTTAGTAAGATTTAAAGTTAACTTATTTCCATGTAACCACTGGGCAACTTTCAAGAGATCATCATTCAGTGCCTCTTCTAACAGGTGTGGCTCTTTTAGCAAAGTAGTACAGGACCGTGTCATCAGCATACAAAGTCACTTCGCAATTCTTTATAACCAGCGGAAGGTCATTAATATAAACCAAGAAGAGAAGCGGTCCTAGAATGCTCCCCTGTGGCACCCCAAAGGTCATCGGGAGAGGGTCAGACACAGCATCGCTACAGGCAGTCCGCTGTTTACGATGATTCAGGTAAGACTTGAACCACTGTAGAGTGCTGGGCGAGACACCGATAGCCGACAATTTAGATAGCAAGATCGTATGGTCAACGGTATCGAATGCCTTGGTCAGATCTAGGAACACTGCACCGCACAGTTCTCCACTCTCCATATGCAATAGGACCTCATCTGCAAAACTGGTGAGAGCCGATGTTGTAGACAGTTTGGGACGGAAGCCAAATTGTTTGCTTGAAAGGAGATTATTTGAATTCAGAAAGTCATAGAATTGGGAATGGACGACTTTTTCCAGAATTTTACTCATTGTTGGCAGAATAGAAATTGGGCGATAATTTGACGCATCTCTCCTATCTCCAGTTTTGAAAAGTGCAGCCACTTTCGAGCATTTCCATATTTCAGGAAAATTGCCAGTGCGAATAGAGAGATTCAGTAACTTGGTGATCGAGGGACAAATAGCACGCGCGCCACACTTTAAAAGTCTCGCACTGATGTTGTCCAAGCCAATAGCTTTATTTGTCTTTAGAGAAAGCAGATGCTTGAGTACTGTTTTCACATCAACTTCGTCAAGCGAGAAAGACTGTAGCATCGTGGCCGATCTGACTGGGAACATAGCAGCAGCTGATATTTTATTTGCAAGACTTCTGCCAATGGATGAGAAATAACAGTTGAGCACGGATGCAATAGAGGCTGGGGTGGTGTGTTCAACACCATCAACTACGATACATTGTGGGCTCGAGGATTTAGTCTTGCGCGAAGACACCTCATTCACCGCCTTCCAGATCTTTCCTGAATCCCCTTTAGCCTCTAAAATCAAGTCACAATAATACTTGGATTTTGCTGCCTTGACTTCACGATTGACCCTATTTCTTAACTTTCTATAGCGAGCCCAGTGAAAAGCAGAATTGGTTTTCACGGCTTTACGATGGTGAAAATCACGATCCTTCATCACCTCACTGATTGTATCATTCAACCACGGGAGCGGAACACCTCGTATTCTTCGCCTTTTCACGGGCGCATGCAGGTCAGCTATTTCAGAAAACAAGTGATTCCAAATAAACACGGCGTCGTCGATGTCTTCCTCGTTTTCAATGATGTGCCATGGGACGTTATTCAAGTCCGCTAGGAAGGTGTTCGCATCAAAGTTTTTATAAGAGCGGTATTCAATTGTCTTCGGTGGTGCCTTAATTACACCTGCTTTTAAAACACAATAGACGAGGTAGTGATCACTCAGCGAAACAGGAACAACACCGGAGTCATTGATGCGGTGATCATTGTTCACTAAAATCACGTCAAGCAAGGATTGACAGGTTTCCGTCACTCAGGTGGCCTCAGTAATGAGTTGCGTAAGATCGTGTGAAGTTGCAAATTTTTAAGCTCTTGTTTTTCTTTCTTTCTTGAAAATGGCAGCATATTTGCATTTAGGTCGCCAAGAAGCACGAAATCACATTTTTCCAGGTTAACTTTCGTCATAGATATCTCCAAGTTTGAAATAAAGTTCGCAAAGTCAAAACCGGGGGCTCTATATGCACAACAAATCAATACTGGGCGACATTTAGTGCGCGATAGCTCAATCCATAGACATTCATTTGCGGCTGAGTAAAGATCATTCCTAACACGAAACGGCAAGCCTTCCTTTACATAAATTGCTACTCCACCAAAACCTTCTTTGGCTCCAGACCTATCCAGGCGAATGCAATTATATCCTGGAATAATAACATGAGAGTCTTCATAGCAGTCATCCAGCCAAGTCTCACTGAGTGTAAGAATATGATGATAGATGATATATGATAGATGAAGAATATGATGGTTGATGATAGATACCTTTAAATTCTAAGACGAGGACGATTACGAGGAGGAAATTTTCTCAATACTCGCAGGCGTGTGAAACAGCATCATTTTGGTAGGCAAACGTGATTATAGCCCTCGACATTTTACTGCGGGTTTAATTTATAAATTGT